AACGACGTTTCAGGGCTCGCAGCACCTCTGAAGGGTCCTATATTATACTTAATTTATTACGATGTTCGGATCTGGGACACCACTGCGGCGAGCTTAAAGGACAGCGCAACCCGTGGCAGAACTCCACAAACCGAAAGCCAAGCGCGATTCTCTGCGGCATTGGTCGCTTATATTTGATATAGTGCGATCCGGAAACCGAAGGCTCGACTTGACGCCTAAGAATCGGTTTCGAGGTCTGTCAACAGTACGAAAACGGGATACAAGTGAATTTGTATTGTCACTTGAATTAGCCATGCTCAAGACGTGCAGTATAGAGTTGCCAGAGGAGAGCTTTGAAGCTAAACATTTCATTGGTAGCTATGAGGCGTAGACTTTTGAGAGGAGCGTTTATCAACGAAACATAGAGATTATAGAAGGTAGGGCGCCGGACAGGACTCTTGTGCGTAAATGCTAGCATCCCATTAGCTTAAAACCTTGCCAGGACCTTCAATTCGACGTCTTGCCGAGCCCAGTCGGAGGATGCTAGCTTCGACACGGTTCGTTTCACTTGCTCAGCTGTGAAGCCTTTCGCCTGAGTAGCTGGGTTGTATCCAAGACCGGTAATTTTAGCAACCTCCTCATCTGGTAATGGACTTGCTGATTCGCCATCCGCACGCCTATATACTGTGACAACTACGGCCCCACCCAAGCCCAGGTTATGCTGCATGGCATACTTCGTGTCTTTGACCAGACGATTGTTTGCCCAGCCTCTGAGATGCCATACCAACTCCGCACACTGAGCTAGACCAGTGGCTCCTATCGAGGGAGTTAGCGATTGGTGGTTGTAAGACAAGCGTGAATGATCATGATCTTACCGACTGGATGTCCTTTTGAAATCAGTCCGCCGGACGGGTTCACGACATACTTTCCTCCGTAGGTAATGCCACCAGCACGAACTAGCTCGTGAGCTTTACCTCTAGGCGCGAGTCCAATGGCGTCGATCGTAATCAGTTCGTTGGCGCTGAAGCAGTCATGAACTTCTACCACACTAACGTCGTCAACGGTGATGCCGGCCTGCTTCAGGGCTTGTTGTGCGGCGAATTCGGCCATCTTGGCGCCAATTAACTCGATAGACGATTTGTTGAACATATCCGGGGCATCAGTGGCCATTTGCTGACCTGCAATCAAGACAGCTTGTGACTTGAGGTGTGGCCTCTTGTCTAAGAATGCCTGTGACACGATGACAGCCGCCGCGGCGCCATTGGAAGTAGGGCAGCATTGTAGCTTGGTCATAACTGGATGAACTTTTGGTGATTTCATGATTTCTTCCAAAGTGTACTCCTCTTGGAATTGCGAATAAGGGTTCCTCTTGCTATGTTCATGGTTGACTCGAGCGATTTCGGCTAGATCTTCGGCTAACGCCCCATACTTCTCTACATACTCAAGCCCGGCATTCCCGAAAAGTTGAATAGCCATAGGAGCATTGGTAAGGCCTCGAGTAGCTTCGATCAGTTTCATTGAAGTGCCCATCGGCGTTTCGCGATCGTTGAAGTTCATCCCCAGACTGCCAGGGGCCATTTTCTCGAAGCCAACGACAAGTATACAGTCGGCAGCACCATAAGCAATAGCTTGTCGAGCCAAGTTCAAACCGGTACTCCCTGTCGCGCAGTTATTGTTGACGTTGTAGATGGGGATCTTCGTCATCCCGAACTGATAGAAAACTCGTTGTCCACAAGTAGAGTCGCCATAATTATAGCAAGCGACACCCTGCTCAACATCATCATAACTAATGTGCGCATCAAGCATAGCTTTAATTCCGGCTTCAAAGCCTATCTCGGGATAGTCAATCTTGCCACAGGGCTTGACGAACTTGGTCATACCAACACCAACGACGTAAGCTGGTTCGGATTTGCGCGGCATGCTGACGGTGAAGGAGGGTAGACTGGCTGGTGGCTATTAGGGCTCCAGGTGATACCTGAAGCTATAGCACTGCTTCGGGGCGAAGATATAGAATAAAAGCCTGGGGGTAGATGGGCTAGCAGAGTTCTTAGCGTCGCTAAGGAGTCTATCTCACGGCCATACGACTTTTGAGAGCTCGGAGTGTAAGGGCTAGGCGGTAGGTGCTGCGGTGGATTTTTGCTCACGTCACTGACAGGCCCGGTGTGGATTGAACCCCGATGCTTTTCAGTCCTCGCAATGGCTATTGTCGATAGTCTTGGCCAAAGAGCGGGTCTCACGTCCCCGACCTAGATATCATTCGGAGAAGCTAATAAAAGCAGCCTTAGGTTTCGGAACCTGACCTCCGTGTGCTTGGGTTTATCAACCCGGAATTCTCCTTCGGCGACACTATCCGGATTTCTAGATGGATGCGTGATCCAATGTCGGTCATTACACGTCTAGTTTGCGGCCCATGAGGATTATAGCAACTATCGACAGATAGGCAAGGTGTCTAATGTACGACAAGCGTACTGGTGTGGCTCTGAAGGACCGAAACCACTAGTAAAGCCATTCTAGTATTTAAGATAGAAGGTACGGAAAGTCTAGAGAAGGAGCAGGACTCAAGACACAATGATAGAGATGGGGATTCTGCGTCGAGATCTTTTGTCTGGGAGTAGCATCACGAACAGAGTTCGGGGTTAATACGGGTTACATGGGGACTATCGCATTTTGCAGTACAAATTGCGACAGCGGTGCATCTTTTGGGCACGTGATGCAGACAATATGCCGAAGATGTCTGGTAGACAGGAAAAGATAGCTAAATAGCCAAGGTTTCCCACGATGGTCCTTTGGGAGGATAAATGTTAGTCTTTGTAATTGCATGAAATGCAACAAAAAGTGGATTATGCTAGATGCTATTCTCGTATTCAACCGCTTCCTTGATTGCCTCGGCCCACGTTTCAGCCAGAGCGGTCGTAGCCCGTGGAAGTGGTCTTCTAGGATGTCCTCCATAGCCAAAATACGTCTGCAGGGCGCTCTTAACGCTTGTTACACCCCCAGCCACTAACGTGCCGTCGGCTTGGGCGAGGAGACGCTGTAGCTTTGATATCTCGTGCGCTTTTCCTTCCGAGGTGCAGAGTTCGAACAGCCTTACACATGACTTCGGGAGCAGATTCCCCAAACCGACAATGACGCCTGTTCCGCCAGCTGCTAGCGTTGAGACTGTGCAATCCGCGAGCCCGGCGAGAGCGTAGAAGCCGGAGCCTGGCGAACTTGGTGTAACTGCATTGGCTGCCGACGCAACACGCGTGATCTTGCCCATATTTGCACAGGTAAACTTGCATCCTGTTATGTTTGGATGTCGAGCTAACTCGATGATCAGGTCGGAGTCTAGGTCCGTCCCAGACACCACCAGCGGGTAGTTGTAGATGATTACAGGGATCGGTGATTTCTCTGCGACTTTCGTGTAGAACTGGATGAGGTCTCCTCGCGTGTAGGCCCCTTTGAAATAAGAAGGGGGCAGGATTAACGCATAGTCTGCCCCAGCCTCGCTAGACTCATTGGTAAATCGAATGGTTTCCTGGACGGATTGGGCGGAACAATTCGCGATAATTGGTAAGTGCTTGAATTTATTGTCGTCCAGTAGTTCTCGAATCGCCCGGATCAGGGTATCCCGTTCTTCATGACTTAGATGAGGTCCTTCGCCGTTGGACCCTGCGAACGTAATACTATTCACTCCGGCCTTGGCCAGACGTAGGCAATGTGTTTGCAGACCGGCAATGTCTAACTCCTCGTCCTCACCCGTGAAGAGAGTGACCGTCGCAACGCTTACGCCTGGTTTTAAGCTTCGTATTGGGGTCAGCATCCTGAATACTCGTAATGCACGATTACGGTGTTACTGTAGAGATCCAGTACGATATCTCAAGCATTGAAGGTCTAGTTTCAGGAGCTTGGAACATGTTGTGGAAGTTTAATAGCAACTATGAGTAGCGACCTTTTTTGCAGGCGCAAGATCTCGGAGAGTTCTCTCCGAGATCTGGCGCCGGACGAATGAGAGCTATCGTGACTTCGGGCAGTCGACCCAACGCTCGGAAGCTGTATCAACCGCACAAGGCTGGAGTGCTGCTGGTCACGGGACGTATCGATGGGGTTTGTGTTAAGGATATGAGATTATGCTCAGGCTCGAGATGTTCTTCATTAATTCGTTATTATTCAATCCTCACAATCATGGCTCCGTCCTGCACATATATATAAACTCTCTCAGAGGGAGATTCCGCAGGTTGCAAATGTATTTGCAATGATGACCAAGAAATGACTAATCCTTCTCTTTACTCCAAGTATCTGGACCGGATTTTCAACAACAGAAGCGTGGATTTGGCGGTGGGAGCAAACACTCTGTGGCATCAACGTCGCAAGCATAACAGAACAAGGTAGAGGAGAGGGAGAGAGAGAGAGAGGGACAGACGGTGGGGAATTGCAGGGGGGATGCATTTGACCCGGAAAATGCCAAGTCTGGGGGACCAGGTCAAGTGGTAAAGTGCTCGTAATCAGGAATACCACTTGCAAAACGGTTTAGCGACTCGACCTTCAGATGTGAGAGATTGTCAGTTTACAACGCAATTGACTCATCCATTACGGTAGCTTACAGTACATCATTACTGAAGGCCATCTGGCATACCAAAATTCTTTGGAGTTTGGAAGATATTTTCCTCTTGTAAACAACGGATACAATTAGCAGAAATCCAAAACTGCCAACCAAAAACTTTACGCTTGCAATGAACAAGGTACTGTGCAGGGCAGGACCGCGGCCCTGGAACGAAATACCGTCCAAATCCAAGGTAAAAATCCAAGGTGGGACCTCCGACTTGTGCTTTTTTTCATTTCCTGGTATCTTGGATAACCTGCTATATTGCACCTTTACCATGCAAACTGGTGCTTCCAAACTTGGCATTTTCCGGGTCAAACGCATCCCCCAGCGATTCTTCACCGTCTCGCTCTCTTCAGCCTTGGTTTTTCAATCATGTGGGCAAGCTTGAGGTGACGGGTTGTTCCTAAATCCACCCTCCTTGTCCTGTATCGCACTTTCACCGCAATGATCCACCGTACTTTTTGTGTTCGATTGTGGTACGGAGTACTGTGATATTGTGATACAGTGGTCTACTCGGAGGTCGATGAAATGTTCGTACTGCACTGGCGAACAACCAGATTCCAAGACGCCGGTGATTTGACTCGGGCACTCGTTTCCTTGCTGCCCACTTCAGATCCGTCTTCCTGTGTTGTGATGCTCTATCGAACAAAGGATCACCGTCACCGTCTCCTGAACCCATCATCCAGTAGGGACAACCAGCTGGAGACCCTGGGGCCGTTGCGAGAGCCGGTTCCCTCGCGACATCGCGGTGTAAGACGCCCAACCCGTGAATAGCACGAAGCCCGTCAATGGCGGTGGTGGCATCTGGAAGAGTACGAAGGTGGTTCAACGGACATCCCCCCAACGTCAACACCATCATGTGCACAATCGGCACCCAGCCCATGTAATATAGGGGATGTTTCAAATCAAAACTCCCGAGATACACGGGGGTGTACACTCCCTGAACCGATTTCAGGGCATTGCAGATGCCTGCCTCTCGTTGGAGATCCGGAATGAACTCCTGTCGTGTACCCTTGGCCACCACCGTGTAACCCCAGTCGGGAAGTCGAATGCGGTAGAGGCATCCTCGCGCTCCGCGAAACCACAATTCTTCACAGTATTCGAGACGATCGTAGAGAACATCCCGCACCAGTTGTCGAAACTTCTTCAGGTCGATGGGATGTTGCGGGCCTGGGCCATGTTGGTGCACAGTGGGACACGAGGAGTCCAAGAGACCTCTCTCCACCATGCCCTTCAAGCAGGAGGCCGAACAGTACGGCCCCAGTTCTTGCTGTTGGCCCGATTGATGGGAGGCGGTTGACCGGCCACCCGGGTTCGTCGCACGCCCACGTGTCCCTCCATGGGCACCACCTCGAGGACCATCTCGAGGACCATCTCGCGGAGCCCGGCTAGGGGTCCCATTGCCGGTCATTCCGTCGTCATCGCCCCCATCTCCATCACTCTCGGTTGACTCTTCTGGTGTGGGAGCATCAGCATTCGTCCATGGTTTCCGACTCCGCAGCCGACGACAAATCGGCGACTCGACCAGAAACCGCGCCGCTTCACCTTGAGGGGGCCGATATTCCGACCCGAACACCTCTTCCTCCGGCACTCTCTCTTCCAAGTCCTCCACCGTCACCTGCCACGTCTTCAGCAGCTTCTCTGCACCCCGCCGCCACCGTGGGTTCCGACGAGGACTCTGGGTCGCGACCAAAGTAAATGCCAGCCACTTGGCCGACGGCCGTCAAATGCAGTCGATTTCCTTGATCCAATGTTCCCGTCCATCCTGTCTTCGGTCCCACATCACCGTGAGGAACGGACAGGGCATATTACACGCGGGAACAATCGTCTTCGGGAATGCGCAAAAAGAATGAACGCCTCGCCGGTAATGACACACCCAAACTCCAGTCCCGACGCGATTATGTATGCAAACACCTGCGCGATCACCGCGGCCACCAGTCGCTGACATCGTCGCGTCAAATCTTCCTCCAGATGTTCTTGTACAATGTCATCCAGATCCATTTCTTTTAAGCCCGTGTAGATGTGACCCAATGTCAACTTGTGGGCCGCCTTACACTCGATGATCAACACCGGTATCCGATGAGTCGTCTCGCCCGCCTCATTGGAGACGCTGTACACACAAAACTGGTCGGCGCGAGGCAGCGATGTTCGGGAATGGCTGGGCGACGATGACCGCGTCGCCGATGAGCCTTGCTCCGATCGTCCTTGCAGACGCGGAGACCGCCGTCGTGGTCGTGACCGGGAGACCGTCAGATTTTGCAGCTCTTGTACCACCTCATCCGGGCTCAGCATGTTGCCATGGTTCTCGAATTTCACCGTTCCCTGCAGATGGAGACTCTGGCGTAGAACCGTCGATCGCAAATTGTACAAAGTATCGGACATCCAACTCTGAGCTCAATTTCCGTCGGTGCAGCTGTTCCCCGTCCTCTTCCAATGTATGCAAGGATGTAAAATGTATTTCTGACACGAAATCAGATTCCATCACCGCATCCCACACGGGAGTCTGGTGTGCTCCAAAGTCGTCCCAAGGAATGATGCGATCGGGGCGGAGTTTTCGGTCGGCATTTGCTGGCATTCCTTGGGTTGACTGCGACTCGTCTTGGACGGTGAGTCCCTGGTAAAGGTGTACATGGCATGTATTAAGGAATTCGGCCAAGTTCGTTTTGCCTGTTCTCTGCTCGTAATACACCGCTGCTATTCTTCTCGTCGGCGTTGTTCTTCTTCTCGCGGGCGCTTCACTTCTTCAAGCTCACGGCGCAATTGATCAAGTTCGGACGACATCTCGCACCTCCTGTATCACCATACGCCCCATAGAAAGCTTTGTCCTGGAACACGGAAGTAATCGTATGAGAGGGGTAGGGCTGTGCGTCTTCCTGATCACGCGCAAGAAAGCATGCGCAGGCAACAATTGTTTGGAGATTTCCTATCACGGAGTTTGCCTTGTCACTAAACCATAACAGGATAGCACCACGGCAACAACCCTGAGCCACTTCTGTATCCCAAACTCCACAAAGACCGCCTAGAAAACCCAAACCCAAATTGGCCAATCGAAACCGCGCTATGTGATTTGACTCTTCTTAAACCCTTCAGGGGTGGGAACTAGAGAGATCACGATTAGTGATTTCTTGGTCATCATTGTCAATGACATTATAACTGAAAATGAGCAATCATCTCATGCCTGAGCTTGAGCTCATATCCGTTACTAACAGGCTTCTGGTAAGTGTACTGTACCTCTCTCGAGGACAAGGAGGACTTCTGGAAGCGAGATATTGGGCGTAACCAGCTGCCTAATAGTTGAGAATGATAACGGTAGCTTCCTAAGCAGCCACACGTGGTCTAGGATCCAACTATGACGGCGGCTTGGTTCAGTCTTCAGAGGCGAGAAGCTGCTACCGTGCAACACGCAGGAACAGGCAATGTCTGGGGCCCAAATAGGATGTGTTGACGAGTCTGACCTCGAGGACTAGGAGGTCGACGTCTATCTATTATATAGGCAAAAGGAGCGAAAGTTCTCCGTCCGATTGAAGCCTTTCTCGCCGTCGCACAGAATTCCGCAAGCAATGTCTCACTGCGGCCCGTACTTGGCTGAGACATGAACGCAATAGTCGTCAACAAGCGCTTCGACGGACTAGTCATTAGTATAGGTCAATGAGCGACTCAACACCATATAAGGAAGGAGTGACTTGAGTAAGTAAAGGAATGGAGCGCTCCTATAGGTCAATGCCTAGGAGCAAGGAGGGCTGCGGGGGAGGAATTGTAAAGACCTCCTTGACGCAACTCGGCCGTCCAACACGAAGAGATGGCTTGCATGACGAGGCTTTATGGGGAAGGTGCCGATTGTGCGTCCTACTTTGGTACCCACAGAGCTGGGCAATCCTATCACTAGGACACCAATGGCTCGCGAAAGACTAGCCAGCGCCAGCTCAATAGGCTTTCCCTCCGGAAGCCTACTAGCCGAAAAGTGACGCCGTCCCGGCCGCTAGGCTTGGCAATTGGCCTTCTATCCCGGAACGTTCATTGTGCCAATCAGGAATGCGGAGACTAGGCCCATGTTCTCTAAGGGGGTCGCGCAATCCCTGTGCGCCGGGTTTAATCATAATTTGCAAGTCCTCCTTCTCTTGCTCGATCTGTCCTGGAAGATAACTCTCATTCCTCACGGTATACGCTTTCGTTTTCTGGACTCCTCTTTGCATTCCCCATCTCGGAGAACCACTCCCCAAGGTTCGTTCCTCAGGTTCTTTTGTTTCCTTGTCCCGATCATGCCGCTAGAGCGTCGTCGGAGACCCCGCGCTGGAAAGGCATGCACTCGGTGCCGCGATCGAAAGGTGCGATGCGACGCTCTTTTGCGACTGCCAGGAAGCTGCACAAACTGCCTCCTAGATCAGGTAGAATGTTCTTTACCTGCACGGTATGCGTTTGTCGCGTCCCCCCACCCCCTCCTCAGCTATCGCGATGAGTTTCCCTAACAGGCTCCAGTCGAAAGCAGCCTTTTCCTGAACAAGACCCTGATAATCTTGGAACGACTACAGAATCTCGGTCTGAATGTAGGCGTCGCGATCGACCATCCACCGCTTCATGGGCCGCCGCTGCGACCCACACAACCAGAGGTCTGTTCGACGGCAACGCTGACTTCATGGTACACGGTTCGACTTTCAGGGATTCGTCGCCAATTGGATCATGGAGCCTTCCATCAGAGGTCGTTCCTGCTTTCGACACCAACATGGATCATGGGTCACATGATCGCTTTCAGTCACCACGCTTCCGTTCAGACAGCCTGATGTTCAAGAGCAATTTGGCGGAGACCTCTTTGCCGAGCAACAGCAAGAATAATAGTACCACCACCACGAACAACAACGAAATTTCCCGGTGCGATACAACTGACGATTTCTTTGTGGATATCATGAACTTTACAAGCTTTCTACCTGGACCAGAACTGCTATCTTCTGGTCCACAATCATCGGACAGTATGACAGACGATGCTCTTCCTAACGCCCACTTTTCTGATCTCGACATCGGCGATCATCTTTTGGGAGAGCTGACAAGCGGCTCAATGAGTAACAGAGGTACCCTCGACCCTGTAACCAGACTAGTCTCTATCCCCCCTACCCCACCTCCGAACCCAGACTCAATGGCTGTCCTCTCGGCCGATACAACGACCAAGCATACCGTTATCCCACCTTTTTCTTGGGTGAGGAAATGGACCGTGGAGCAACCCGACCATCGCGCCTGGAAGACCGCCGCTGAGGTAGAAGCTACTTCGACTCCTTGCAAAGCTGTAGTAGACGAGCTTGTTCGGTTGTATTTCCAATTTTTCCACCCTTCTCTTCCCATACTCAGTGAGCTCAATTTCTTTCGCACGGTCAACTCTACAAATAACAATGGTGAAAAACCACGTCCGACCACCAGCCTCGCAATGTTGAATGCCATAATGTGGGCGGCTAGTGGAGTGCGACCCATCCCTTCCCAATTTTGCGGTTCGAGCTCAGCACTGACCGATTGGATGACAGTTTGTCACGACTGAAGATGCAATCAGGGCCGGTTTCTCGTCTATACGCGCAATGCGTAAGGCCTTTTTCAATCGGACGAAGGTTAGTCCTGCCAAGCCTGGTGTTCTTCTCCTTGTTTTGTCTCGCCTGTTAACGCTCTTTGGATACATGCAGATTCTCTATGAACTAGGATGCGAGTCTGACAGTTTAGCACGTATCCAAATCTGCCTACTGTTGACATTCCAGCGCACATATCCAGATGCCATGTTTGAGAACGAGTTCTGGGCGTCGCAGGCGCTGCACCTTCTACAGAGAGCCAACGTGGACTCTATCCTCAAGGACACGACTCTCAACTGTACTGTTGTAAGCCTTTGGAAACGAGCTAAATGTTGCGCGGCGTCACGGATTATAGCTTTATCAATGGCTACGCTGAGGACAAGTAACATGAAGCCATTTTCCTTCGACCCCTTCTCCATTGGGATGGTGGACTTTTCGGAGGACATTGACTTTCCCTGGTACCTTCAGGTCGACACGAAACATCGTCTAATCGAGCTTTTCCTGGCGCGATTATCTTTACTCCAATACACGATGCCACTTATCAATTTTCTCCTAAGATTGAACTCCGCTACCGATGAGGAAAAGTCAGATTCGGCTGGGATATCCATTCTTGCCGAAACCGAACTGGCTGAAATGCGATTCGCTGAGTGGAAAACCAAGAACTCTTCCATTATAGACTCTTACAGCAAGGAAAAAGGTCTAGAGGTTGACTATCAAGCACTGGCATTGCAACACGGGTGGTTGAATTTGACATACCAGTAGGCTTTTACAGCCCCACGACCTACTCTAGAACTGTTCAACACAAGACTGACCCGTGGACCATGGATTCTAGGTATTATGTCTCCACATTACACCAAGCTACCTTAGGCAATACCAGAACGTCGTTTGCTTCAAAATGGGCAGATAAGATGAGGGAGTCATCTCGACAAGCACTCTGGGAGTCTTGTTCCTCCACGATTGCTACCCTGAAGCACCTATTGGACATCAACGTCGTTCGGTATCTGCCTCCACTTGCGTGAGTACATCTTGCCTCTTTCCCCTTCGACTCCTACACACTGAAAGAGGTTCGTACTCTTTTTCAAATCCAACGGTAGCTAATGGACTTCATCCTGCAGCGTCATATGCTCATGGTTACCACTGGTACTCAACTACATCTACCTGAAAGGGACAAGGCGATGCCATCTTGAGATAGCATACAATTTATCTATTGCTGCTCAGACTCTCCAAACCCTGGGCGAGCGATATGACATTACCGATTTCTATATGGAACTGGGTGATGCTACTGTGGCAATGATACACGAACTGACTCTAGGTGGAGGTGAGCTTTTTAACTCGCTCAAGTGCACTAGCAGAAGAAGCTTCGCCATCGATGTCCCTGGACTCGCTGACAGGACCGATCCAGGACTTGGTATTCATGCTGCCGTGGCACGTTTTATCAACATGTCACTGGCTAAGGGCAGGGTGATCCGTCCTCCAGAGATGTCTACCATGCCCTGAAGGATGCATTCTAAAAGGTTGGAAATTTCCTCCTTTCTCGACTGGATAAGATGTCAGTTGCATCAAAAACTTCATAGCACTCCAGATGTTGCAAAGATGATGTCGAGGGCGGATGGGCAAACTGGGAAATGGAGATCCCGTTGGTCTGTAGATTTTGATTACTATATGATACATATTGTAGTGGTTGTAAGAACCGTCTTTGCGAAGTGGCATCCATCTCAGTAGCAAGAATTCGTTCGTATTGATATAAACGAATACGAGATAGGCCCCTTCTAGTAATCAGGCGGACTAATCGGATCGCGATCTCGGTGTCGACTTTACAGCCCCGAGCCGAGGAAAACCTCGTCCCACATGAGCCACCTTCGAGGCCGAATCACCGAATCTACACTATCTCCCACGGAAGTGAGAAACTGTCTCCGACGGAGCACCTAGGGGACCCGACTTTCAGAACCCTTGGAGCCACGCCCGGCGCGAGTGTACGCAGACCAGAAGACAGTAAGTTTCCCAGGCGAGTCAGACAGTCTGAAGTTTCAAAAACAGCTTACTAGAAATCTCATTGAATCATCGTCTCAAGCTACAACATGGCCTCCCTCAAATTACCCCAATTCGACGACCTACCTGCCCTGGGAGACTTCCCCAGAGGAAGCGCCTGGGGTTTATTCGACAAAGACGGCCTGAAAGACAGACTCGGGACTCTCAATCTCCTGACGCCAGAAATAGTGCGCAGCGCAGCTAATGAGATCCAGGTTGGACAAAGTGTGTCACTGAAGTAAGGACCTTGACGATCGTGACCCTATTTCAGTAGATTCTTGTTTCGTCCGGGGCATGCGTGTAGTCATTCCTTGACAGCAACTGACCTTCGGTGATCTTTTGCCACAGCTGGCCATTGGATGGACTTTACAAGCCGCATGCGCGTCGGGCTCCCATAGTCCATAAGCACATTGACCTCAAATTTCTGGGAATACGGGCCTTCGACGATGAGGTATGTCCTAGAGAAATCCGGAGTCATAGATCATACTGACTGCTGCGACCTTAGATTCATTTCAACACACAGAGCAGTAGTCAATGGGATAGTCTTTGTAGGCGATGAAAGACAATCCAGCAATTCGAGCTGCCACTGACAAGGCTTTCTTCCTCCACCCAGGCCACTTCGCACACCAATCCACAGGGCTCTTCTACAACGGAGCGGATCCTGCAGCCGAGAGTTTCCAAGATAAGAGCTGGCCTACACTAGAAGGTAGCCTACCGATCATCCGTCGCCCAACATTTCCAGTGTTCACTGCTAAACTTGTGTGTTGCAGCCTGGCACGAACGGGGAGGCCTCGTCGGCCGAGGCGTCCTGCTAGATTACAAAGCCTACGCAGAACAACATGGGATCACGTACTCCCCCTTTGAGAACCATGCGATAACAGTTCAGGACCTCGAAGCAGTCGCACGGAGTCAAGGAACAGGTTTTCATCAGGGAGACATTCTCATCGTCCGCACTGGTTTCGGCGAGAAGATAGCAACTCTGGACGAGGAGCAACAGATCCAAGTGCTCCACCGGCACCACGTATGTGGTGTTGCTGGGAACGAAGATTCCGCGCGGTGGGTATGGGACCATCATTTTGCCGCTGTAGCAGCGGACAATCTTGCCTTTGAAGTCCAGCCTGCCTTGAAAGGTGGCCACTCGAGTGAGCTCAAGCCCTACCACATGTTCAGAATGCGACGGAGTTTCTTTAAATGTACTAACGTTGCAATCTCAGTCTTGCACCAATATTTCCTGTCCCTCTTTGGTTTACCCATAGGGGAGCTCTTTGATCTCAAAGCGCTATCTGAAAAGTGCGCAGAGCTACATCGATGGACATTCTTTCTAACTTCGACCCCATTGAACATCAAAGGCCTCATTGGATCACCTCCAAATGCACTGGCGATTTTCTGAGCGATTGTATACGGCAGTCTGTGACTCAATATTGAACATCACCGAACTCCTCCTTGGAGGTAGATACAACAACTGTCCTTGCTAGACATTCTTCTGATAAAATATACTACACAACATGAGTGCGTGAAGACTAAAGGGCTCAGTCACGGAATTTCATCATCCCGCACCTTCAATTCAACCGTGGATCTTTGGTTGAATACTGCAAACTCGTCCAAATCCACCACTATTACAATTCTTCAAATAGGGGCTATGTACAAAGGCACACATTACTCATAATACCTTAAGCCGCAAAGCCAAGATGTAATATGAAAGGAGTGCCACAAACATGACATCCACTGTGTCTCAGCCCGGCTCTAGCCTCACGCGGCGCCTTGTGAGCTCTAAACCCATTCTGCTTCACTGAGCATGACAGTTCCCATCCTGGAAACTTCCAAAGTTTCTCGTGGATACCTACAGTCCCATAAGAGTCCTTACAAACTTGGGTAGAAGTGTAGCAGCATCCTAGACCAGTCTTCGTTTCTCCCTGATTCGCAGATCTGAAAAGAAAAGCAAGTTTCCGGAGAAAAAGCCACCTGTATTATGCAACAGGTCTAATAGTTCCACTAAAGGCGTTCACATAAAGCCTCGATACTATTACCGTTACTTTGGAAGCGTAAAGACAATATTCAGTTACAACAGCGTAGCTTCCCCGGACTCAGGAGCGATTTATGGTTGTTCCGTCTACACTAACGAAGCAATACTAAGGTCGTGACTCGCTTATAGATAAGTACTCAAGGTCAAAGTACAGATCGACCGGGTCCTACAACATAAATTCTGGAACCAGACGTGTAGTCTCTTTCAGGATAGAGCCTCGCTCATTGCACTTCCATCAAAACCATCGCGAAATTGGCGACCGCTTCGTGCATCAATAATATGAGAAGAGTTCAGATCCACTTCTGGTCTTAGCTTCGGGACCATTAGCAGACCTTTTATCTCCCATGTTGGCCTCTTCCTCCGTACCAGAAATCCGTTGTACAGTTACCATGTGCTGCCATTGGGCCAACGTGTCAACTCATTGAACAGCAAGCTGCACAATGCGCGGTCGATATACTGTAGATACATGGCTTCAACATTGTCAGTCATACTCCGTACGCCTGTAATTTCCCAGCAAAACCCCCTGTGTCGCCCGTCAACCAACTGATCAGACTACGAAAAGCGTTATCTCGATACGAAGTACTTCCTTGGCGGCCTTAAGTCAATGCCTCAACTAGGTCTCAAAAAGCGGCGCATTAGTCGGTGAGGATCACACAAAATAATCGCCCTGAACCCTGTTCCAATTAGGGCTCCGAAATGAATAAACGAATATGAATATGGCCCATACTCATATTCGCCTATGCGAATACGAATAAAGCGAATACTTATTCACGCGAATATGGGCAATATTGTTGAAGATTTGGTCCAGATACCTTCCGATGGGGGAGATGACAAGGAGAAGGATTCGTCATTTCTTGGTCATCATTGCAATTTGTCAGTGGGGATCAGTCTGGATCAGTGGGAAATTTCTGGGGCCCCGAATTCGTCCGAGCCGTTCTCCAGACCTGCAGTGGATAGACCCATGCGCCTTTCAATTTCACAGTACGTGGCTAGCTCCATTTGGCTTAATTTGCAAATACATTTGCAACCTGCGGAATCTCCCTCTGAGAGAGTTTATATATATGTGCAGGACGGAGCCATGATTGTGAGGATTGAATAATAACGAATTAATGAAGAACATCTCGAGCCTGAGCATAATCCCATATCCTTAACACTTTCTCGTCGTCGCACAGAATGCCGCAAGGAATGTCTCACTGCGGCCCGTACTTGGCTGAGACATGAACGCAATAGTCACCTGCTTGCAAAAACAGTGGGACGTTGGTGCCCTCCGTATAGAGAATTGGATCCCTGAGGTTAGGAGGTGTCTCCGAGTCTCAATACTACTAGACGTCTATCCACGCACAGATATGAATACCCATGGACGGGAGAGCTGGCAAACGTAGTAAAGCTGGGTCAGTATCATAGGTCAGTATCATAGGCCAGTATTATACTTGATTTGCAGGTACTCGCCACTGAGAAGATAATCATGACGCTGGAGTTGAGAAAAGCCTTGTTCTTCAGCAAGCCTCCCTGAACGCTGCCGTATCCTTCGGCAGCACTCATCACCACATCGCTCATGTTAGCAGGGTCAGGACAACCTCGGCGACATGGATCCGCCATGGGGCTGCGGCATTTGTTCCACGAGCTCTAAAAGAGGCACGCCGGAGTACGTGCGTCCCAGGCGTTTAATCAGCCACCTTCTTCTTTCATCGGCTACTGATGGATCCTCGGAACGTCTTCCTTGCATACTGCAAAATGTCACTAACCGGGAACGATTAATCTCCAAAACCCCAGGTTCCCGATAGGAGCCGCTGGTGACTGCGAATGGCAACTTCAGCTGCTCTATGCCAACAAATTAACATGGCATGCTTCTGTTATTGTGGATATCGTTACATCGACCAAAGGATCCGTCGAACTCCATCCCCAAAAGTGTGGCTGGGAAAAACGGTAGCCTTGACCGGCGGCTCGTCAGGTGTTGGGTCGGGAATGGTCAAAACGTTACTCTCGTATTGAGCGCAGGTGGCTAGTTAAACAAGCATCTCAGCTTTACGAAAGTGGATGTGCAGTTCCGTGTCGACGTGCACAACTGGATTGAACTGGCGGTACAGAGGTTTGGCCCCATCAATGGGTGTCGCTGGCAACGCAGGAATTCCCCCTGACGGGGCAGTACCGGAGCCACCGATGATGAATTGCAACGTGCTTTTGAGATCAATTCAAAAGGCATCTGGAACACCCGTCACTGAGCCTTCGTCCAGCTCGAGAAGCAGAAGCCCGGAGGTCCAAACCTGGCGACCTCGATTGGCGCTGGGCTTAGACCTTGTCCCGGCAATACGACCACAGCGGTTCGAGGCATGCCATTATCGCACCAACAATGACACGGGCCGTTAACTGGGCTTCGGAAGGAATCCGCGTCTATACCATTGCTCCAGGTGGGTTCGATTTCCTTGGAAAGCCGAATTCGAACGCAGTCTGTGGTGGCTAATTGATCTTCCGAACAGGCATCATTGCGACGACAGCTCAAATAGTCCTAGAGGATAAAGCTTGCCTTGATGGATGCTGTGGCACCTTTCGTTCGTATCGGCCAACCAACGGAAGTGGCGCAAAGCTCTCGCTCTTCTCTTCAACGATCAAGCTAGCTACACTACAGGGCAGACGCTGGTGGTCGATGGAGGACGACCAATGGCTTAGGCAGGGCGTTTCGGGAGGCTAAAGTGTAGAGGCACCATCCCATATGCTTCAAAGGAGCCCCCATATTTCCTCTTCTTGAGGCTCATTGCGGGGCAACCCCTTGAAGCTTACGCGACGAGCTTAAGGTACGACAAATTCGGTATGAGCATAATCAAGTTATTTCCAGTCACGCAGACCATGATCTGGCGATAAGAATGTGGAATTCCTTTAAAATTTTCTGTTCCTGATAGCCAGGTTGCTTTGCTGAAGTGGAAAGAAATCCTCTTTTGTCGCAGGTGGTACACCACATGCGTCCAATTTGGGTTCGGATTCCTTTTTCCTTCTCGTCGCATTCTCTGTGCACTAATTGACATTGTTTACTGGTCGCAAGCTTGTACCATCAACTTTTGTCATCGACCGGTCGCTGGTAAGGGATGTAGCATGACTATAGCTTTCCTGACTCTCTGGTTTCCATCCATAAGCCCTCCGCTTCAGCAAGGACAAGACCGTTCCGGTCGATCATTAGACCCCTCGCCTTCCACTTGCGTCCCTGTCGGCCTTCTAGCCAGCATTTGACCACAACATCATTTGGCGTTTGTGTGCGAGCACGAAAGTTTACGCTGAGCGTCGCTGTAAAGAGAGTATCGCGAGCCCCAGAAGCAGCTTCGTGGTGTAGCATAACACAAGAACCTATGGTCTCATCGAAGATAGCACATGTAACTCCCCCATGAATCACAGAAGGATGTCCATCTACACCCGGACGGGCGAGATGTATCAGGACAATAGTATCTGGATTCTCGGGGGGTTTGACTACTTCCTTGTGGCCTTGGTAAGGTTTTAGCATACGCCTATCACTCTCTTTGAGAGTGCGAACATCCTTCAGTTGAAGTGTCACCATATGCGGGATGGTGGAAGGCGTGTTGATCGTTCTGGAGAAAAAGTAGTCCTCGCCACTCTCTTTGAGGATGCGGCCGTATGCTGGGACGACTCGATACGAAGGAAGCGATAGGAATTCGTTTGTGAAGTCGTTTGCGCCAAAGTGCTCTAGAGCATCCTCTGGCACCGAGTGTGATGCGAGAAACTGGTTTAAGAAGTCTTTCCGTTTGGCCATGCTGTAGTCTAAGGTACGGATTGCAACGATCCGGCTTGCGCGTCACATTTGATCTCATAACAAACTGTAAGATAATGCCAAAACGGTAAAATATATTCCAATAATACAAAGACATGTCAACAACCGGTATGAGAGCACCGAAACTTCTGTTTACTAGTTTGTCCTAATTCCGAGAAATCATGAGAGTTGTGGCGTTCCTGCTGGGGACCATCCTCCGGCTCGGCGTCACGCCATCCCGGGCAGGTAAATGATCACATATTGTGTAAGCAGGAAGCAGATTTCCGCGGGCAATTTTAATGCAATTTTAATGCAATCATGATGAAATTACAGTTACAATCTCTCGCTGGTGATACAAGGATTATATTATGAGCTGACTTTGCACACTATAGTCACGTTTGAAGACGAAGAGCTAGACGGCCGAACAACAAGTCGATTTGTTTCGCTTGAGAGATAGTTTCTGCAGCACACAGTACTAAGAACACAATGGCAGTTCCTTTAATACAGTAGAGTTTTGGGCTTACGGGACTGACGCATCAAGATCTTTTCAACGATAAGCAGACCAGCTCCGTGTCCTGACTTCATGGGTTTTCACTGCAATTCATAGGGTTGAAGCAAATCAGTCGAACACAATACTAATCTTAAGACAATCCTAACATACGAGGTACACTGTTACAGTGTAGAACAGAGAAACTGCGTATGATGCTCATTGTTACGGGCGCCCAACGTTACTTGCATTAAACTTTCAGTTGTCGCTTTCTTCACATGCATCCCAGCATACACATGGTATCCTCCATAGCCATGGCCTCTCTGTTGGAGAGCCTTGCGACATCGCTTGGCAGGCTATGAGAGCTGAGATCTTGGGGAAAAGAGAGGAGTGAGGCCTATCGGCCACAAGCAAATCTACTTGTGCATCTGCTTATGGACAGCAAAAGGGTCGAAGCCGTCCCCCACCCAACGTCACAAAGATTGTGTTGACGTCACCTTTTCTGAAGCGCTTTGACCAATGCAGCGGAGTCCTGCTTGCGGGTAAGGTGAGGTTCTAGAGACAAACTGACAGACACTTACACCCCAGATGTTGTATGACTTCAGCTTCGGGCTTTCAGTCTCCGTATGCTCGAGCGTTAACCGGCCAACAAACTCGGCCGCCACCTGCTCGCCATTCTTTAATTCCATGTCACCATATGCAATGAAGAGCAAGTCAGTTGCCTTATCATCGAAAGAGTATACTCTTTTCACGAGGTGCTTCCTCGAGGTGAAAAGATTCCATGCGCTGTCCCTGCTCCTCCGGATTTCTTCTCGACAGTTAGTCCGATCGAACAACATCAACGTTCAGCGACCAGACCAGAAACTTACCTTCGCTTCCGGTAGCGGCATGAGCGCCAAATTGGGCCTTCGCATCCGGTGCAAAGATCTCGTCAGCGAGGATATCTCCTACATTAGAATCTTTGCTGTCGAGAAGATTGAAGAATCGATCTATCAGTGCCTTCACCGCAAGGGGCACAGGATGCTCAGGCCAAACAGCATCTTGAGTATTGTAGCCCATATTGTAGGCTGTGTGTTTTAATGTCGTTTGAAAGATAGTGCTTCGTAGCGAGCGTCAGTACAGATGTCCTTTGAAGGTTGAGAGCCAAAAATCAAGCTTCAATGTAAATTGAATGAGGAAACGGTCTACCGACTGTGACTTCCTCTCTTTTCTCTGGATACAATCCGCCCAAATGTGATGAAAGCCTGAAAACGTAATAGGACTTGGAGCCTTGACTGCTTAACGCGACACATCTCGGGAGAATGGTGTCCGGATTGATCGACCCATGGAAGGCGTGATGGCATCCCTGCCGGACGCGCTGACAAAACCTCTGGCTGAAACCCCCGGAACATGGTCGGTTTCAAATCGATGTTTTAGCTTGTTATGCAATGCCAATCTAACTGTAGCAATCGTCGCCTCTACTGCCTCGGTTAAGTGAGAACCCAAGCTGATGTAGGGCTCCGAGCCGCAGCTCCAGTGTGACGACGCCGGATTGTGGCTGCCGCTGCACACTTCCCGGACAAAATTATTGGACGGAGTGCTACGGATCAACCTGTGTAAAGTTAAGCGGTATCTGATTTTGCCGCGAGGGGAGAACTTTCAGCGCCTTCTGGCTGTGCCCCGGACCAATTCGTTCCGGAAAGTGGGAATCAAAGCCCAACTTCCTTCTGTCTTCGGCGCTGTCTGACGGACAGGCATGGAGGCCGAGGCAGAGATCATCAGTCTTGTTTCTCCTGGCCAGTGTATCCGTACAGCGACAGGTTTGATAATCACCAGGAGCAGCCCCTTAGTGGACCTCGAGAAATTCCATGCTCATCTTTTGGTCGAGGGAGTGGCTTGTTGACCTCTTGGGTATCTTGGACATGACCATCTCAGTGGAAGTAGGACTCAGAGCCCTGGAAATGACAATCTGGGCTACTTCCTGCTTACATGACTGTGGCCAAACCCCATCCCGTGCCAAACACTCGATGCTTTCCAAGCAAGGCATCTAGGCTAGAAAAATCGTTCAACTTCCGTACAATGTTAAGGCCAATTCATTTCGCTTCCACTCTGAACGGGGTTCGGCGAAGCTTGAAGGTCATCACAACGGGTAGTGAATCGATTCTAGAAGCTCGTTTGGGTGGTCGCCACCGCCTCATCTAATTTCCTCAGTTGACAATGCACTCAGACCTCCAACTTGCCTCAAAAAAACGAAGGCCTATAGTTTACTCCCTGCTTTCTTACGCGACTGCTTTTCTCTATCTCTCAGTATTCTCCGAAGGATCTTTCCCGAAGGACTTTTCGGAATAGCATTGATAAACTCGACCCCACCCACAAGCCATTTGTATCTCGCCTTCTCCTTTTCGACATGTCGTATGATCTTACGCCTCACTACCTCATCACTTTCTTTTGACGAGTTAGCACTAGAGATGGCTCTGACGACAAAGGCTTTAGGCACCTCGCCAGCTCGTTCGTCCGGTATCGAGATGACAGCACAGTCAGCGACGTGTGAAAGTTCAAGTAAACATGCTTCCAATTCTGCAGGCGCCACCTGAAGACCCTGCTTCTGTCAGTCACAATTTCGACCTCGCCTGCTCCTCACTCACTTTCACCTTGATCAACTCTTTGATCCTGTCCACAACCCAAACATGCTCATTACCTTTCGGCGAGACTCGAAACTCCACCTCGTCACCTGTGCGCATAAATCGACCCTCTGGAGTATTGACGAACGTCTCCTCCGTCGCCTTATCGTTGTTGAAGTAGCCCAACACGAGACTAGGTGTTTTGACCCAGAGCTCACCTGGTTTGTTATACTCTGTGATCTCTATACCATCCGGGCTCATCAGCTTAGCCTCATATCCTGGCACCATCACCCCGGCAGAGCCGAACCAGACGTCACTATGCGGGGTATAAGTTACCACCGTACTCGTCTCAGTCAATCCGTAGCCCTGCCGAACAATCCAGCTAGGGAATTGTGACGCGAGGTCCTTAGCTATTTCCTCGCCAAGCGGAGCTGCCCCTGTCAACACAACTCTGACACTGGATAAATCGAACTTTCGAAGCAATTTTTTGTCTTTGATCATGGCGAGAATGATAGGGGGTACAATGTATAATGTGCTGATTCTATACTCTTGAATGGCGTTGAAATAGCTATCAAGCTCGAACTTCGGTAGAACAATTACCCTATCGCCATTATATGTTGACAAATGGGAGATGACGATTAGGCCATAGATGTGAGATTGTGGTAGGAGACCTAGAGCAACGTCGTGGTATCCAGGTTCAAGTGCTTCTCTATCGTCTCTGTCGAAGGCTGTAACCTGGACAATATTGGCAATCACGTTTCTGTGACTGATCATAACGCCTTTGGGTGGTCCGGATGTTCCACTGGAATAGCACAAGAATGCTGTCTGTCTCGCTCCCTGGCCTTTTCTCCAGCGGATATGCTCCACGTCCGGCAGCGATAATCCTGCATATTGTAGCTGGCCAAGGGTCTTAAACTCCTTGGGAAGCACAGGAGGGTCGGTGGGCATCTCGCAGATGTAGACCTTGTTCCGAGGGATTCCTGCCTTGTCCGCAGCGGCAAGTGCTGTCTGCAACAAGGGCATAACAGTGAAAAGTACTTTGGCCCTCGAGTTAACAAGTTGATGAGATAATTCTTCCGCGCTATAAGCTGCATTTGCTGGAGTTGTCAGGCCATTGAGTCTCTGTACCGCCCAAGATAATGTCATGATGTCTATCTGTTCGCCATAAAATTAGATGACGCTTAGGGGCTATAGGATATACCTTACGGTATTCAGCGCATATACGCCAACAACTTTGTCGAATTCGGTCCCCTCGTTGACCTTCCATCCGAACTCCTGTGCCAACGAGCGTGCGAGTATAGGAACCCTCTCTTTCTGCTCAATTGCTGAGATAGTGCTGCCACTAATCCCACAGGTGTAGGCATCCCATGAGTCGGCAAATGGCCGCCTTCCATGCTTCTCATCGAAAATGAAATCGTATATTGGCACTGTGTCGGGGATTTCCGGCAAGTTGGGGACCCAAGCTGGTGGGAAGAAAACCATGGCGCTGGAAAGAAGTTGGTTTGATAGCGACGCGTGTTATCTAGACCTCGGTACTGTCTGGAGAGGATCATGCGGGGCCTTGGAGTTGATCAGGGCTTTGGAGAAATAAATAGAGTGCTGGATTTGTCCCAATGTACCCAGCGTGCTTTGTTCCTACCCCCTCGGAGTAAAGCATCCCGGATTGAGGTCGGCTTTAATGGGACCATACGTTCACAGAGCATGACTTGTGCGACTTCAGCGGGATACGTTCATCGTGCCTTCGAAAATCGGGGAACATGTCTGGATCTTTTGATAAGGGAGTTAGGGGTTCGGAGCAAGAACGAAGCGGGTTGTCTCTCCATTCATCTTCGGTGTGGGCTGACAAGGACGAAAATGACATACAGAGATCCGGCCCGGCAGCTGAGACTAGCTTGCGTAGGAATAAGTCAAGTTCTAGCGGCCAAGGTTCGGTCGCCGAATTCAAGCTGCAAAAGCCGCGTCCCACTCTATCGCTTTGGCAGAACGAAGAATGCGGGCATTCTGCTTGAGAACAGTCCCACCACGCCGCTATTGAAAATTTATTGCTGGATCTAACATCTAGAGGTCCATTCATCTCTATAGAAATGCACCCTCAATACGCAGCTAGGACGTGCAAAAATGGTGGACTCGTGCAGGGAGTAAGATGTATCATCTTCGTCGAGCATGTAGCATGCAGTAGACGACTTTGGGAGAAAGCCAACCCTGGCAAGCATTCAGCACACAGCGGGGAGTGGCTCCCGGATCAAGCTCATAGCCTCTGCCACAGTTGCACCGGTGACTGGGCAATGCCCCGTTCTTGACCGAAGATGCTCCCAGCATTCCCGGGACCAAGGACGCCATTCATATGACGGACCCTCGTCCCACGGAAAGTCGAAAAGCCTTCGGCCCTTGGAGGTCTATAATTGCAGCATCGTGTCATGATTCAGCTGCACGTAGCCAGAGAATGGGTTCTTCATTGCTTTGACAGCTGAGAGATCTGCCTTCCTTTCGCCTTCCTTTCACCTTCCTTTCACCTTGCTTCTCCCTCAGCTCTTCTCCTGTTCCCCGACCCTGACCTAGACCAACATCAATTCAACAATTCTGTTCTTGAATCTCTACTCGGAGCAACATGAACGGCCTTGCAGAGCCCCGTAAGCAACCTGTGGCGACCATGGAAAAAGAAATCCTCCCCAAGGACACTGTGTTGATCGCCGGAGGCGGGCCGGTCGGGCTGACCCTTGCCACCGTGCTTGCACACTACGGCGTGAGAAGTGTTATTCTGGAGAGAAACCCGGAAACTACACGGTAGAGCTTTAGCTTGCAGAAATCCCAGTGACCATTTTTCACGCTGACCTCTTTAGATGGCCGAAAATGGACCTCACAAACATTCGATCCATGGAACTTTTCCGAAAGCTTGGTCTCGCAGACGAACTTCGTAAACTCGGTACGGATACACTAACGCGCATCCCGATGAGCCAAGCGCCCTAACATACATAGGCGTTGCATCTCATCTACCTTATCGAGTGCTCGTCTCAACCAGTTTATGGAGTCCTAAGCCACTAGCCGCTTGGGAGCATGCGGGTGTGGACGACTGGCGAGTCAAGATCGCGGCAAACAATGATGGCACTATGCCGCTGGAACCATGGCAGAGACTATCTCAAGCGCTGTTTGAAAAATGGCTGAAGAACATTTGCGACAACAACCCCTTAATCGATGTTAGATTTGGCTGGAAGCTTACAGAACTATCGAAGGTCGACGATAGAGTGATTGTTGCCGCGTCCGATGCCAGTGATGTGCAACGCCAGATTAGCTCAACATACCTTATTGGCTGTGACGGAGGCTCTAGCCGAGTACGACGTTCTCTGAAGATACCTCTTGATGGTGGTCCCATGTGAGTGATTGACTCTATTGTAAGGCAGTCAACTCTGCTTACAAGACTGTACAGGCCCATATATGGACTTCTCATTCATTTCAAATCTCGTGATCTAACTCGTCTTCACAAACATGGACGCTTTTGGCACATGTTCTTCTTAAGTGAGCAAGGCTTAGGCTCAGCGGCTATCTCTCAGAACGAAAAGGACATCTTCACGACTCACTTGTTTATGCCCGTAGGTACAGACTGTGAAGGAATCACGTCCGAGGATGCAGTGTATCGTTCTCTCGGAGGCATTTACGATCCATATCCTATAAAGATCGATGAGGTTCTTGTCCGATCCACGTATAGGCCGAACATCGCCCTTGCGCGCCGGTATAGCGGAGCGGACGGACACATCTTTCTTGCGGGCGACGCTGCTCACCAGAATATCCCGACTGGAGGCTATGGTATGACACCACTTGACCTTTTTACAATACCTTGGCTGATCTTTCCAGGCATGAACATGGGTATCGCGGATGCCTTCGAGCTTGGGTGGAAATTGGCGGCCGTGATCAACGGGCACTCGGCATCCTCAATCCTTCAAACATACGAGCAAGAACGCAGGTCCACCGCTCTTGTGAGTATCGAACGATCCGGAGTACATATGAGCGTTCATATGGAGGCCATCAAAATGATGAATGGGAAGGTCAATGATGTCGATGCCCCAACCGAAAGAGGCGAGCAGCTTCGCAGCAAACTACGTGACTACTATTCCAAGAATGACGGTGAGAATACTGATTATGGTATTGAGATGGGTTACCGCTATAAGTCGAACATTATTATACCGGATGGTAGCACAGAATCACCTTGGACTCCATCTCGATACATTGCAACTACATTCCCCGGTGCTAGAGCTCCCCATGTCTTCCTCCGTGACGGAACCTCGATCATCGACCTTTTTGGGAAATTTTACACCTTGGTCGAATTTAGAGACGGCCAAGAACGAGGCACGCATCTTCTCGTCGAAGCGGCATGGAAGCACCATGTGCCCCTCAAGCTCCTGACTCTGCAAGAAGAGCCTCAGGCTCATAAAATCTATGAGAGGCACCTGGTACTGGTACGACCAGATGGTCATGTAGCTTGGAGAAGCAACCTGGTCAAAGATGAGGGCGAGGCCATGGATGTCTTCGCTATTGTCTCAGGAGTAAAGATCCCAGCTCACCAGGAGCAGGAGCAGGAGCAGGAGCAGGAGCAGCTGTATCTCGCTTTTGGGGCCTCTGAAAGACCAGAGGACGGCGCCTTCACATTTACATCCACAGTGACGTCCATGGCTCAAACGACCAACTTTCAGATGGAAAACATGGGAGAATTTCAGGCTTGAAAACCGTCCGGCATGAGCTGGGTTTTCCCAATAGTAGATTAAGATCTGACTAGCCCACCCAACAGAGAATGCGTTGTGCCTATCTCAGGTGGAGAATCTAGGTTGCTTAAGGGAAGATTCTGCATGGTCTAGGCAAAGCGCGAAGCCATCAGCACTCTAGCCTGTCATGCAAAGATGTAATCTGGGAAACATGCTTTGCGGGGTAATGGCAGTCCATTATCACGGAATCTCCCTCTGAGGGTGTATGTATATGTGCAGGACGGAGTCATGATTGTGAAGATAGTAATAACGAATTGATGAAGAAAATCTCGAGCCCGAGCATAATCCCATATCCTTAACACGGCCACGTTAGACGGTAGGGATGGTCTGCTTCCAGTTCCAATGGACTCCTTTTGTGGTGGCTCTGTAAGGATGTACTGATCATGGTGACATAGCCTGGCACGAGCGGGGAGGGCTCGTTGGTAGAGGTGTATTGCTAGACTATATGGCATTGCAGACTTCCACGGGATCCACTATGCTCCATTCGAGAGCCACGCATAATTACAGTCCGAGATCTCGAGGCAGTTGCTCGTTATCAAAGGACGGTATTCCGATCTGCAGACATCCTAATGATACGTACAGGCTCTAGCGATGCAAAGGCACGGGTCAGTGAGGAGGAACAGGCACGCGTGATACACTAGCATCATGTATGCGGGATTGCTGGAAGAGAAGAAACGGCGTGTGGGACCATCCCTTTGCTACCATGGCAGGGGATAACCTTGTCTTCAACGAATTCCAGTCGCGCTCGGAAGGTCGAAATCTAGGTGAGTCTAGGATGCTTACATTCTACACCTCAAGTTGAGCGTGGAAGTTTCGGATAATGTCACTGCTCCACGGGCTTTCTATCCATAACCATATGGATTAAGTCAATCCATATGGACATTTCCATATTCCATAATCCATATCCATACAAGAATGTTGTATTCCATAAGTATGGAAATACTTCGGAACAACGTTATCCCGATCGGACTTGGCAGGGGGTTCGTCCAAGACGAGCTTCTACGCGGAGAGGATGGCTACTCCCGATGCCTGTAAGGTGAACTCTGAACCGACACTGCTATGATGCCCTTTCCACCACCCGTGGACGACGATGAGGCGTCTAGCGCTCGCGAATCATCCGTTCCCTCGGCTATAGAGCTCGCTTCCTCCACCTCCACTCTTCCCAACACAACCTTCAGCAGCCATGGAAATCGGAAGCGCAAGACGACTGCCAACACCTGGGCTCATGCACGCGATCCCACCGGCTCAGAGCCTGCCCGCTGTGCAAGGAAGGATGAAAAGATTTACTATTGTAAGTATTGCGTGGATCCACCATATTCGACCACGGTATCGACGACTTTCCGTTACCACCTACTCAATACTCACGGTAATGAACTTGACCCCCATGAACATCCCGTCAAAAGCAGCGGGACAGCCTGATCCAGGATGCATTTGCGAAGGCGGGTGCGCTCCATACCACGAAGCAGTCTGTCAAAGAGGAAGTGATCCTACGAGCTGCTGTCAATCAGAAAGCCGCTCTCGAGGCTCTCGTCCAGCTGGTGACGGTTCGCAATCTCTCCTACAACTGTAGCTCTTGGCCGGAACTTCACGCTCTCATTTCCGCGATCAATCCTGCGGCTAAGGATCTGGTCACCCTATCGCATGGCTCGATACAAAAGCTCATCTGCAACTCATATCGCGTGCACAAAGACATCTTACGAAGGAAGTTGCAATCTTCGGTGTCCAAGGTGCACTTGTCCGCCGACGTATGGTCGGCCCCAAACCACAAGGCCTTCCTTGGCATCTGTGTCAAATTCATCGATTCCGATTCCAAGGAGACCCTCCAAGCCTTACTCGCTCTACCAGAGCTTCCCGGGGTGGAGGGTCCCGGAAGTCACGGTGGAGCTGAACAGTGGAAGCTTCTGCGACATGTCCTGGAAGATTATGACATCTGGCACAAGATTGGGTTCTACACCGGTGACAACCACGGCTCCAACGACAAATTGTGTCGCTTCCTTGCCGAACATCTGCGGAGTAAAGGTGTTGATTGGGTTGCGAGGCAGCAACGGATTCGATGTCATGGGCATGTCATCAATTTGGCCGTGCAAGCTTTCCTTTCCATGGACACCAAGGAGGCCGTCGAAGCCAGTCTGGACCAAATCGAACAAGGTGACGAAGTGGCAGTGGGGAGTGACTTTATGGACGGCTTTAAGGCACATCAGGCGCTCGGTTGGCGTCGACTTGGACCTCTGGGGAAAGTGCATAATACCGCCATCCATATGCGAGAGAACGATTATCAATGGAATGTGTTTAAGCAGCATGCTGGTCGAGCCCTGGCCCTGGGCAATGATACGCGCTGGAACTCGTGGTATATTCTGCTTGACATTGTCCTGACCCTCCAAGATCATGTGGAGTGGTACCAAAAACGATATTTTGAGAGCTTGCAAGAAAATTACTTGACTCCCCAGGACTGGCAGGTCCTCAGAGAAACCCGTTCATTCCTTCAGCCATTCTGGAGAATTACGCAACTGACCGAAGGTCGGGATAGTACACTCGATCAAGCGCTGTTCACCATGGATGTTCTTCACAAGCACTACACTCAAGCCTTCACCAAATACAGGGACAACCATCCCCTTCGTAGCTGCATTGCGACCTCGTAGGCCATCTTCGACAAGTATTATCAGCTCACGGATGAGAGTGCGGCTTACGGAGCGGCAATGATCCTTCATCCGTCGCGACGGTTAGCGCATATTAAGAAGAACTGGCCAAGGGCGTGGCACAAGCCAGTCACTGACGGGGTCAGGAATTATTGGGAGGATCACTACCAAGGGATGCCGATTGCTACGACGACCCCTCGACTCGGTGGCGATTCACACCCTCCCGATGAGCATGACCTGCTCGCACAGGAGCTCGACGTGGCCAGCCCGGCCATGAACGAGCTCGACGAATATAAATGCTTCATCGGCCAGACGCCGATCGCGATCGACTGTTCTCCACTGACCTGGTGGCTCCGAGAGGAACAATCACAACAATATCCACGGCTTTCCAAGATGGCCATCAACGTTCTTTCCATCCCCGCCATGTCGGCGGAACCGGAGCGGGTTTTCTCGGATGCGCGGCGAACAATATCGTGGGACAGATGTCAACTCGGAAGTCGTACAATTGAGAGGGGTGAGTGTATGAAAAGTTGGATCAAAAGCGGGATCACGCAAGGAACGCCAATTGAAGTGGTGGAGGAGTTCCGGGAATACGGCGATAACACAACGACCTAGCATGAGAAAACCTTGTCTGACGTCATTTTCGGTATTCCATACGGAAAATCTTCCATATGGACTATGGAGTATGGATAGGAAGCCTGTATACAGTGAACGTTCTTGACAAAGGCATACGGTGAGAAGGGTGGCTGGCTTCAAACGGCACGCCGACTTGTACAGAAACTTTGGGATGAGGAATACCGTGACCTTCCAGCCCTGTGGGAGATTGCAAGTAGTAATCTTCCCGCTGCGGTAAGGGCGCGAGAGCTTAATCCGTTTGACTCGTTCCAAGGTGAGCTCATGTCATTTACAAACTATAACGAAGAACTCGTTGCAGATGAGTTCAAGAGGTGGCTCTCCACCAAACAAGATGTGTACACCAAGCATGACAACCCACTCGGCTATTGGTCTGCTAAGCAATTTGAGTACCCTCGTGTAGCTAGAATGGCTGTTGACGTCCTGTCGATTCCTGCTATGGCTGCTGAGTCTTTTCCTCTGCAGGCAGTATGGTCTCTCCCAAGCGAGCTCGGCTAGATGCTAGAACAATTGCCGTTACACAGACTGTAAGATCATGGTTGCGGGCAGGGCTGCTAGAAGGATACAACGGCCTGCTCAAGGAGGCGAGCGACGATATGGCTGAGATCTTGGCGTAGTGGCTAGTGCGATAGGCTTGGTAGTAAATAGACAATATCTATCCAGCGATCCGAATAGGTCAGATCAATCTAGATCAGATCAGATCATGATGCTAGCAGATCAGATCAGATTAATACTTTTGACATAGATTTAGATCAGATTAAAGACCATCAATATCTATTCAATCTATAGATATAAGCCTAGCTAAGTCAGAACATTTAGCGCGTTATCATTAGTGATTAGGGGACGCGTCAAGACACATTTATTACTTTAAGCCTCCAAGTTTTTGTGCCGCAGTCATTAACCTTAAATGCTTATCTAAAATTATCTATGAATCTGATATTATAGCTAGTTACTCCTAGCTCTTAGGAGACATTAACACTATCTTCGCATGCTAAACTCTTTTATCATTAGTTAATCTTAATTGCCAAGTAAGTTAAGGCATTTAATCTCCCTAAGTAAAAGCTTATAGTTAATAATCTCCCGCGTATTTTAATTCAGGGAAAGAAATATATCCTTAAGAAGTGGGTGTATTAACTAGCTAATGCGAGGCACTACTCTTAGGTTAGTAACCATAGGCTGTACCTAGTCAAAATGAGAGAGAATTAACGGAGTAATATATTCTGAAGTTATTCTGAGTGCGATCGAAAAGGACGCCGCTAACTATATAATATAGAGATAACTAGTAATGCAGAACGCTATCTCTTAGCTAAACATGGTATTAAGTAACCTAGTCTAGAGATATTAACATTACCCTTATGTAATGTGATAGCAATGCAGGTTCTAGGTACTAAGGGGCGAAAGCTTAATAATGTGCTAATAATAATAGACACGAACATTCTTTTTAAATGGACACTTATGTAATGAGTAGTGAACACTAATATCCCTTTAAATAGAGTTAAGGCCTATAGCTTTTAACGCTTAATTAAGGTTTACTCATTAGGCTTAAATAATATTCTTAATATGGTGCTCACTAATAACACTCTATAGATATAAATTATACATAAATATAGGCAGAATAAGGAAGACATTAAGGATTATTTATATTCTTATGCATAAAGTAATATATATCTCTCCTTTAACATATAAACCTTAGAAGATAATAATATATCACTTATAGCTATAATTACCCATTATCTTAATAAAGATTTTAATAATTAAACTATACTAATTACTCTGCGCTATCTTTTTAGTCTATACTTTAGAGTAAACATAGTAAAAACTCTTCTTAATGTGATTAATAAGTTTAATATTTAAGATTATTTAGGCTACTTTATAATAAATAACACTAAATCTAATAATACTTACCTAAAATGCGTGATATAAAAGGTCTACTCTAATCCCACTAATAATATAATTAGTGAACACTAATTATAATACTAAAGTTATATCTTAAATCTTATAGCCTAATCATTTTTATTTGGCTATGACGCCAATACTTTAGAGCTAGAGAATGTAACTAATGTTACCTTAGATTAGGAGCATAAACACCTAAGTACCTAGTAAAAGAGGGGCCCAGTTAGGAAACTCCAGAATATCATGACATTCATTAGGGCCTTACTATAGTATAGGGAGCTATTTAAGAGTATCTCTCTCGCCGCCATTAAAGACATTAAATATAAACTAATTTCGCTAGAATTAAAAATCCTAGGCGTTATTTATAACAATATAATAAGGTAAAACTCTACGTATATAAATGATTTAGTGAGCACTTAGGAAGAGATAGAAGATTAATGCTTTTATGTAGATTCTTAACGTAAGGAAGGGCGAGATAGGCTTATCATAAGAAGACTAACTTAGCTAAGAAAACTAGTTAGTACTAAAAAAGTCAGCCGAGATTCTAAAGCTAATATATAACTATACTATTTACTTTTAGAGTTAGGCATAATAAGAACATCATAGAGCGATCTAGAAAGTATTACTATTTATAGAGATAATCCTATAGTATCTTAAAGACCTTAAGGATAAATACATAACATTAGGTCTATTAAATATATTGAATACACTATTTTCTCGCGAGAACACAGATATAAATTCTTTAGCTAAAGAGTCTATGGCTAGTGCTTAACCATAGTTAGAGGTCACCATTACTTAGAACTCATAATAGGTGGCGCAACACTAGCTAGTGAGATACATTCTACTCTCTTAGCATTATAGACTATATTATAGCTCTTTAGTTAATGTTCTATAGTCACCCTTTATCTTATCACCATTATTAAATACCTAAGAAACTAGTAATGACATTTTTATCAGTGCTAGCAGATATTATCTTTGCATTAACATTAATAATGTATAGTCTAAACTAAAGAAGTACTATAACTAGACAGATTAATTACGTGCCTACTTCGGATTAGTGCGAATGTATTTAGCTCTAAATAAAGTATGGTTTACCTAACATTAAAAGGATAATAATTAGCTTAAGTAACTAGATATAGCTAAATATAGCCTACAGAAACACTATAATAAGCATTATTATTAACCTAATAATATGGCCTTACTAATAGAGCTAACTTAACTAGATAGCGCTCTATATAAGCCTAATAATTAGAATGACTTTCTAGCTTCTATATCTTTACGTGCCTAGTTATCTATAGTAAATAAGTATAACCGTTTTAAATCTCTAAATCCTATCTAGGATACTTTCTAGAAGCCTCTAAAATGGTGGCGCAACCATGTTAATGAATATCTCATAATGTTATAAATAGCCTTAAACTTCTTTTCCGTACCTATAATATCTACTAAATACGAAAGGGTATTTAGTCTTACTAAGATAATTCTCTTAACATAATGACAGAGTATAATGGCCTTCACCCTTAAATATCTGGTCTATCTGAGATTCTGGTGAAAGAACGGGCCTCTTAATAACCTAGAGAGAGTCTAATATCTCAAAGTTTAGCTAGCGTATAAATATACTTAATGGTGTTAACTTCTCTGGTGAGAGTACTCTTAAGAATTACCTAAGCCTTAGCAGATCTATAGATATCTGCAGATAGATTAGATTAGATCAGATGATGCGCTACTGACTAAAGATCAGATCAGATTAGAGGGATAATCTGATCTGATCTGACCTATTCGGAGCGCTAGTATAGAGCGAGCTAATATACTAGAAGCGAAGTGATCATAACCAAAACGTATGGGTATGATCGTGAACGAAGTTAACTACATGGTAAAGCTATGAAATGACTGTGTATATATATTTCGCTGTGATCAGTGCGTCTCAGTGTGTCTCGGCGTTTCTCAGTGTGAATCGCCCTGATTCCCACTGATCCAACTGGTCGTGGTCACGTGATACCTTGTTAGTTATCCCAGGTCGAGCGAGCGACCTGCCATCCGTGATCGCGGCCTACACGCAGACCGACTTGTAACAGCGAGGTAGAATTACTCTAACCCCAACCCTAGCTTGAGACATACCCCTAAATTTGATACGCTAGTGCCGAATTAGGGATGCCTTTGGAGCTCCAACCGCTGCAGATCTAATCCATTGTAAGCCTGTATCCAGTCCAAAGCAGGCTAAACCGAATCCAATTCCAATCTAAATCTAGTTCGATCTAAGAAGAGCACTGCTGAAGATACAAGTATAAATATCTACTTGCAAGAATCCCGAGCTGGTTTTACGAAGCTGTCAAATAACTACATCAGATATCTATATACCCGAGGTCCTCTATCAATTCATTCAAGGATGTTACCCTATCAATGTTTGGATCTGAGGGTCGTTCCAGTCGTAAACAAACCCAGAAAGTGCTCGTGATGCCTTGGCAACCGCATAAGCAAATCCTTTGGCTGCAACCTTGGGAGGAATCAGTTCGTGGCCTGCGGATATGTTCTTAAAAGCAGCCGCGTCTTCCTGTGACCATCCTTCATCTTCAGGGTACCACCGTTAGCAATTCTGAGCTCCGTGCCAAGAAGGTCGTAGACTCACATGTACCGTCCATCACCCCACGAAGCATCGGAGTATCGCAGAGTCCGGGCCTCAGGCCAATGGCGATCAATGAAGGCTCTTCGAGGTGAAGCTGTTGTACCTCGAACGCCACAGCTGTTTTCGACATGCTGTAAAATCCCCAACCTGGAAATACGGCTCTACCGGCATCAGATGTCGTGAAGACGACCTTTCCCTCTGTTTGCCGGAGATGAGGGATAGCGTATTTGAACTGCTCATCCATGTACATATATGAGCGCACGCTGGTATAGTTTGCTCGCAGATGCCGAGTTCATGCATTTTGAGGATGTTTACCTACCGTGTATAGATGCGACAACACGTTGACCTGGAAAGCCTTCGTCCATTTTGCCGGGTCAGAGTCGTAAAGACGGTCCATCGGCCCCATGGTTCCAGCATTCAAACATAGTCCCGTCAGTCGGCCGAATCGACTAACTGCTTGGCTGACCGATTTGGCAGACGTCTCTTCCTATTTGATTGTAAGCCCCGACGTCTGATACTAGCTTCGTGACTGCTTACGGCGCTTATATCCCCTAATATCACCTCTAAGCGATCAGGGTTGGCTTCGGCCATGGCATCCAACCCGCCTCTGACGATATCGACGGCAACTACTCGGCCTTTGAGTTCCTCTAATAGATATCGGACGATTTCCAAGCCAATTCCACCAGCAGCGCCGGTGACGATCACGACTGGATCCATATGAGGTTCGAACTCGGGCTTCAACTAAAAAGTGACGACTTGGATAACTCTTTAGGATCCTTGAGATCAACAAGGGAGAGTGTTTAAGAACTTATATTCACTGATACAAGATCGCTTGGGGTTTGAAGTCTGGAGATGCGGTATCAGCTCGGATGTGGGGTATTAGACATGCAGGCGCTTCAGTCCGAGTGCTCGGCGCCTTCCGGAGCCCGGAACCACGGGCTCCGGTATACTGGGCTCTTGGGTTGTCCATTAGGCCCACGTTCTACGCTCCGGATGGAATACTCTAACTAGTGGGACACAGTAGGAAAATGAAATAAAGGAGTTGCGTCCCTTCCCATGTTGCTATGCCGCCAAGTGGACCAATACTATATGATTTCTAACAGCTATAAGCTTGACTATGATAGTTATTATATATACTTATTGAGTATTCGATAAAGTGTGGTTCATCTGAGGGCTCCAAATGAAACGGTTCGACCACTGAACTCATAGGCATCAGTGGCCGCGACGCGCTTGAAATATCAGGGAGATGATGTCATGCAACACGTAGGAATAGGCAATGTCTGGGGGCCAAATAGGATGTATTGACGAGTCTGACCTCGAGGACTAGGAGGTCGTCTTCTATCTATTATATAGGTGTAATGAGCGTAAGTTGACCCTCCTGTTGAAGGAGAATTTCGTCGTTAACTCGTTGCATCGGGATCCACCGCCGCAGCGTCGGTTGCCGCCGCGGTTCATCGGTCGTCGGCGAGGTCCAAACCCTCGGATGAGGTCGTTGGTATAGACGTAAATTCATGGTGTTAGTAAAATAAGGAACGTCGGGGCGTGGCGCCGACTGAGGGGTGTAAGCCTAGTAAACTTTGCATATTGTAAAGACGTCGCCTGCGGAGTATCCCGCAACTCAGCCTGTTCAACATATGTGATCCCGTCCATTTTGGCGCTGTTGTGTTCTGCCAAGAAACGCGACTGGAACTGCAAAAATTCTGCGGGTAAACAGACCAAAATCGATCAAGGGTTCCTCGGAGTTTTTCCGTCCTGGGCGGTGACCCACTGATTAACCCAGTAGGGCCATGATGCTCCAAAATGGGGTATTATTCAGCAGATTATCAACGGAGTCAACATCGTGTACACACAGGTGAAGGCATATGAATTGGTGTTGATGTGTATCAACATTGAAAGTGCTACGTGATGTGTATGTTGACGAAATATTGATCAACATCGTGTACACGAATGTTGATAATGTGGAATTGTTGAACGGCCGAGTTACGGAATACTCCGTCAAACAGGTCTTTACAAACGCCTCCCGCAACCCTCGTCTTTTTACTAGCCTCTGTCACTCTTTTCATCTCACTCTATGAGTCACTCATTTATCTATATCATGATCTATCCGAAAGAAGGCCTTGTCTGAGACAATTGCCTCAAATATCTCAGCCTAGGCAAGGAAGAACGGCTTGCGGGATATTATGCAAGGTCGAGAAAAGCCTCAATCGGATGGATCTTTTACGCTCCTTTTGCCTATATAATAGATAGGAGCCGACCTCCTAGTTATCGAGGTCAGACTCGACAGTTCATCCTATCTAGCCCTCAACTAGTGCCTATTCCTGCACCCTGTTTAACATGAATTGATCGGAAGCTTGACTTCTGGCACTATTGGAGCTAGAAGATACTTCGTATATTCGTCCTGGTCGAGGCCAGTGGACCGAGTTCTTGATCTGGTTGGCAGATTCTGACGCTTGGGTAGGAACTATAATCGCAGTAGACATTTATTTTTTTAGTCCAGAAATCCAGCATCTGCTTTCGACAATCTGCTCGCCATTCCTCGGGCCAGTTGTTGTCGATATAATCCCACTTCCACTGTGGAGACAATACCAGGTGTCACGGACAGACGCCACGAGTAATGGCACCCGGTGCCTAGCGCGCTGCCAAGACACTCAGGGGCTTCGCAGATTTCACGCAAGCTCCTTAGCAGGAGGACACCTTCTCTCCTTATGCTTCGAGTCTCTGTACCTAGAGCACCCCTAGATAGGAAGACCTACTATATTCATTGTGTTATCACTCTGCCTACTCCTATAGGCATTCCTAACACCAGGGCTGCAATATAGACTGGCGATCTCTCTGTTAAGCTGTAGTATTTGTTGAAATGAGAGGCTGGATATTGCATTCCCAGCCCCCAGGATCCCTAGATCGCTTGTATATAGAGGCGCTCTTCACCTCGAGAGAGCGGGAGGGATAATCAACCTTTTAACATGGAGGCCATACTCGTTGGTAGAGGAAGAGGAATATGATAGGTGAGGCATTTTTACTAACGTAATCCACACCCGAGTTGCCAATACAAGCGAGTTGCTCACCTCACCCAATTTGACCCTACCACACATAATTTTGAACTATGCCTCCACCACATTGTCGTCCTAGGCGCTCAGATGAAGCCAAGGTCATTCTAGCCATGTCAGCTATCGATAGCCAGCAGCAACTATCAAACCTCGCCGCCGCGGCGAGCTATAACGTCTGCCCGAACACGCTGCACAATCGACGCCTTGGGAAGCCTGCACGGCCGAATTGTGTCCCCAATTCGAAGATACTCACTGAGCTGGAAGAGAGAGCGATTATTGAGCATGCTATCGACGTCGATAGCCGCGGATTCCAGCTTAATTATGACCTGTTACGTGGTGTTGCTGATAAGTTACTCACCGATCGAGGGTGCCGACGCGTCGGTATTAACTGACCTACAAACTTCGTTAAGCGCGTTCCAGAACTTAAATCACGCGTCAATTGACGGTATGACTATCAGAGAGCCTTAAACGAAGATCCTCGAGTCATTTAGGACTGGTTTCGACTTGTGAAGAACATAAAGACTAAGTATGGTAACTATCGTCAACGAAGATATCTATAACTTCGATGAAGCAGGCTTTCAAATGAGTGTGATAGGCTCTCATATGGTTATTATAGGCTCAGAGAGACGTCAGGCGCCCAAATCTTTATAGCTAGGTAATACTGAGTGAGTTACTACTATTGTCGCCGCGAACGCGCAGAGCTGGTTAATTTCACTGTTTATCATCTTTAAAGGAGCTCAGCAATATGATACCTGGCACGCAGCAATTGCAGATAGGCCTAGCTGGGTTCTATCAGTCAGTGAAAGGGGCTGGACGTCTCACGATCACGGCTTACTTTGACTGAAGCACTTTGACAGCTGTACAAAAGACCATAAGGTCGGCTCCCGGCGACTACTCATAATGAACGGCCATTTAAGTCATGACACCATTGAATTCCGTGACTATTGCAGTGATCATAACATAATTACTCTCTGTATGCCTTCTCACTTGTCACATCTACTATAGCCGCTTAATGTAGGTTGCTTTAGCCCGCTCAAGCGAGCTTATAGCACAGAGATCGAAGGACTCGTACGCTCTCAGGTCAATCATATCACGAAGGAGGACTTTCTACCTGCCTTCAAGGCGGCCTATGATAAGGCTATCACCAAGGAAAACATCGTTGGTAGCTTCAGAGGTGCAGGACTCGTTCCCCATGACGAAAGCGCTGTCCTATCGAAGCTTGATATTCGTATTCGCACCCCTACGCCTTTATCTCCCGATCTGCCTCAATGGGACCCAAAAACGCCGCGCACTTGCGCTGAAGTAGCTGCTCAGTCGCAGCACGTAAAGGAACGTATTCAGCGACACCAAGATAGCTCACCTACCTCGATATTGGGTAGCCTCGCAAGCCTTGAGAAGGGCGTCACATTGATCGCGCACGGAGCCTCAATGATGCAACTCGAAATCGAGCGATTACGATCAGCTAATAAGGTGCTATCGAAGCGTAAGGCGCGCAAAAGGAAGGTCCTCAAAGGCGCTACCACGATATCAGCAGCTCGAGGCTTGGAAATAGGTAGCCAGCTCGCTATCTCACGAAATGCGACTGCCAAAAGTGGCTCCGAGCCTCGACGGCGACGATGTGGGCGCTGTCGCCAGCCAGGCCATCGAATTGAGACCTGTAAAGAGCCTCCAATAGATGCGGTAGGCCCTGCAGAGTAGATATCGCCTGTTACACTAAGAAAATATTGTGTATATATCGATATAGTGTGATTCAAAACTTCAAGTAGGTTGGGCGTGGGCAACTCGCTTGTATTGGCAACTCGGGTGTGGATTACGTTAGGGAATAAACAATGTGGAGCCAAGGGGAGGTGTTGGGCCGTCCATGCTACCCCCTTGTACCTTTTTATAGTGCGATCCAATCCGTGGCTGTGCGCAAAGCTACACACCCACATACTGAAGGCTTAGTACAGATCAACACATCTTCAATTCATGGTTTACACGGAGTAGAAATCTCCACTCCCTATCGCCCTGAAATTGTCTCTAGCTTTACACCTTGGTAGTAGTCTATGATGCAGTACCATAACTCTCAAGCTTGCCGACTATTGATTGGTAAAGGACGCCGGAAAAGAGCTGTGGCTCGCTAGCTAACATTACACAAAATTGCTTCGGTACAGTCGCAACCGCATAGGATCCTTTAAGCCATCAAGCCACCATCGATCACTAACGTCTGCCCCGTCACGAAGTTAGCTTCGTCGCTGAGTAGATAGGCGACACCTTCGCCGATCTCAATTGGTTGACCGAGTCGACCAATCGGCACTGCAGTTTCCAATCCTGCTTGCGTACCACCCATGTCTACTGTCATTTTCTGCTGGGACGGCGTCGAGACGATACCTGCTCGTAAAATCTAATTAGTCACCACAAACGAGGGCGAATGTTCCAAGGATAAATCGAGCGTACCTGGAGCAATGCTGTTGACACGAATACCCTTTGAAGCCCATGTCGCTGCCCACGTCTTCGTCAAGCCAATGACGGCATGTTTGGAACCACTATAGGCTGGATTGCCTGGGTAAGACCTAAGTCCTGCTCCACTTGCGGTCGTCACAATGGAACCACCCGACTTTTGTTCCTCAAACTGGAAGAAGGCCTCGGTCACTGTGTTCCAAACGCCCTTGACGTTGACATCAAACACGTGTTGGAACAGGTCGTCGGCGGTGGCCCCACTGCCGCCTTCCCAAATACATATTCCTGCATTGGCAGAAATTCCGTCGAGACGGCCAAATTTCTGCACTGTCTGTTTAATCCAGTTGTGGACTTCGGCTCGAGACCGTACATCCACCTTGGTGAAGGTGAGTTGCTTGTCTAGATAGCTGGCCAGTTCCGCAGGTACTTCCTGCACGTCAGCCACAGCCACGTGGGCTTTGTACGAGAGCAAAGCCTTCACAATCCCCAAGCCGATGCCAGAGGATCCGCCAGTAATGGCAATGGTCTTTCCTGCTAGGCTTTTGGTCATTGTATTGTTTACTTGGTCGCCTGCGTAACGAGTTTCTCAATAATCAAACGGGTCGACGACGTTCTTTAAGTCGAAACAATCTGCAAAGAAGAAAAAACCATCTGTGTAGTTTTCACATTTTCGCCAAGATTTTGAGAGCGCTCCCGGAAGGATCTTCGGAATTCACGTCCGGAGTGCCGAGGTCCGAAGCGTGTCCCACTTGGATGCTGGGCTGATAGCTGCGGTAGTGAGCCGACGTGGCAATCTAGGGTTGTGGGGTGTACCTCGAACGGACTCCTGGGTTGCTTTCTGCTCCCGAGGTATGAGACGCACAAAACGGCACTCGTGCTTATCACATGAGTGAAGTCTGCTTTCAATACGCTGCTGGAACACGGAGAGTACCGCGATGGAACACCAAAAGTTTACACTGTGCGCTACATTCTTCCAGGTGTCCCAGATCTGAATGTTTGCCAGGGCTGTGGTGACTGGAGCAGACACACTTAAGGCGCAAAGTTCTGTCGTATTCTCACCAGGACATTTATGTGCCATCTATGAATTACGAAAATACAGCATGTCGAGATCAGCATGACAGGCCGCGTGAATTCATCCTTTGTCCCTCCTTTGTCCTCCATTTTGGTCTATCTATATAGAGCCGTGTTAGTGCCTTACTGTTTGTGTCTCTTCTTGACGTCTGGATGGTTCTGGAGTACCGCCACTACTTTCTGCATCCCGCCTAGATCGCCGGCTTTGTTGGCATCATCCAAGCTGCGAACATTCGTTGTGGCATTCGCAAACTCTCTACGAATGACATCGGCATGTTGCTGGCTGCGGACCGAGACGTCTGCGGCGAACGGATAGGGTTTGCCGAGTGTGCCTCCTAAAAAAGTCGTTAGTACCGCAGCAGGGAAAACCCATCTCTAGCAAATGACGTACCTGCATAGGCTTCCGTATCGATGGAGATGAGCTTTCCTTCTGCATCCTTAGCTTGTGCAACATTGAAACCCCACAACATCCTTGCAGTAAGCAAAAACATGGCACTTTCGGCAAAAGACAAGCCTGAGCAGATACGTCGACCAGCACCGTAGGCAAAGTGATCTCGCTCCTCTGGATTTTTAGCGTTGGCATATTCGAGAGCGCTGAGCTTGTGATTGATGTACCGCATGGGCTCGAATGTTTGTGGATCAGGAAAACGACGTTCGTCCTGGTGAATGGAGTAGGCACAGCCAATGACGGCTGTTCCTTCGGGGATCAAGTAGCCCTCATAATAGTCGTCCTTTATCGGAGCATGATACACGCCTAGCATCGTGTCAGTAAATTAGGAAGCGGAGACATCTTTCGTGGACGCGCATTTACATACCAGCATTGGAAAACGGCCTCCATCTGTATGATTCCTTGATCAATGCTCTCAAATAGGGCAGATTCTGCTCGTCTTCAAGGACCGGTAGTCGATTAGGTCCAACGACGCGATCGAGCTCCTCGTGTGCCTTTTTTAGAACCTCGGGGAAGAGTGCCAGTCCCATGGTGGTGTAATTTAGGGTTGCAGCGGTGGTTCCAGAACCTGCAAGCATAAGAGACAACGTGATCATTGCAGCTTCATCTTCGGTCCAGCCTTCTGAAGGGTACGTCTTGATGATGTTGGTTGCGAAACATTGCACTTCCTTGCCTCGCTCGACATTCGCTTTTGCTGGATCCCACCAAGCTCTGGCTATTGTATCGAGAACTTCCCTTTCGCGCTTATAGATGCGTCTCCATGGCGCCAGGTGATCAGGGATTCTCCGCAAGACCGGATAACGATCGTCGATATACTTGGCTGGGTACAAGTTTTCTTCCAGCCAAGCACTCATCAGAATCAGCCCCTTGACCGATGGATCGGCGAGATTGTCCATCCGCAAACTGTGACATGGTCAGCTTCATTCATCAGTAGCCGGCGTTTGCCTTGCTTACCCGTAGACGGCACTAGTCAATAAGCTGATGCCAAAACGCTCGGCATGGACAAAGAAGTGAGAAGGACTCTCGACCATATCGTTAAGGTACTGTTTGGACTCGTATTCGAAAAACGGGACGAACGTCTTGACCGCTGACTGACCCGCCATGGTATTGAACAGCTTCCGTTGCTTTCGCCATGCCTTTGTGTTTGTTAGTGGCTACTGAATTGACCTAGCTGGTGTTTTTGGGAGTCTAGCTCACGTCGGTATACCCAGCACTGACAATCAATACTCCTCGGAAAATATGTTCGTGGAAAGCGAACCACCTTGGTCGACCACTGTAAATATTGCCCCGCTGTCCAGTATTAGTCGATGGCAAACCACTCGTGGTCTTTCCCACAATACCTTGTCAAAGAGCTCTTTGATGGCCTGCGGGGAGTTCAACACAATCTGCAAATTGGCACCATGCCAAACCGAAAACACGTCCCCGTATTTCTTGGAAAGCTCCTTGAACCAGAGGTGAGGTTTCTCCTTGGGGTACCCTGGCGTACCAGTGATAGGGTTGCCTGGAGGGCCTGGGGGCTGTTCACCAGTTCAATGATCACAATCACTCTGGAAGATATAGCCATTGCTTACAATCTTACGCAAATATGCATAGTAGCCAATGCGGAAATAGACCTGTAGCAACCACCCCAGCAGGTAAATAGCGATTAAGCCCGTGGAAGCAGCAAGCCCCAGCGAGGCCTTCTGAAGAACAGAGCCAGCAGGGATGACAGAGATAAGACCCATGATCGATTTTTGACTCATCAAAAGAACGGCGGAAGGCAAGGTGTGGCAGAGCCAAAACATTCTTGTATATCTAGCCTGTCCTGTCCATTTTATATAGGTTTACCAGCAAGCATAGAACCTGCTTACTCTGTCCGTAATTCTGCGTCTTCTCCTTCTCCTTCCCCGGAAAGTTGTACCCTCTTCCCGACGCTGTAACCGTCGAAGAGCTAATGCGGGCAGCCCCGGTCAGTTCGGGGCGAGGTTGTTTTCATTGGCCTCTGCGTCGACAATAATGCCGAGGTCCTGGTCAAGCGCAGACAATGTGACTGCCCCGTTTTGAGACTGTACTGGCTATAATTTGCAGACTGCCAGACGGGTGCCTATACCCACGCGCTAGTGTCCGAACCAATGCCCTGCGTCTGAAAAACATGTCGAGAGCTTCCATAAAATTATGCAGAACGACAACATAGTCTGTGCATGTCTCGGCACAGCATGAGGCAACACTCCGAGGAATTAATTCTAGGGCCGAAACATTCCGACGCTGACTTTTACTGCCCGGCGACAATGCCTCCGAGCTTAAGAATTTGAGTTAAGACCAGGTTCGAATCATGCGCTCCACATCTCTACTAAAGTTTACCACAGGGTTTGCATACGCGGCCGTGGAGAACTGGGCCACGGCATAGAGCTGCGGAGACTAGCCTCTGGGGCATGTTCCACTTGTTGCAGCTACATTGGAGATCATGATTCGCCCCCAGGCTTGTTCTTCTTCTCCCTGGACGAAAACGCTCAACCTCAGATCTCGCTCTTGAAGACGAAGATGCGTCCTGGTGATGCCTCGCCCTCCACTTCAACTCGTGACTCTCACCTATCAACCATGGCCGCCGATAGACCCGTTCCAAAATGTATCCGTGCGTGTGAGTATTGTCGCTTGAAGAAGATCAAGTGTAAGCAACAGATTCAAAAGTTGACGACGAATGCTGATGTCGCAGGTAATGGCAAGCAACCGTGCAGAAATTGCGAGGTCAGTTTTGCCCGTCGTTCCACCCACAACGACTCAAGATCTAATTTCATTGAAGCTGCACGACGAGGAATGCTACATTGTGCCCACCATACGTAAAGGAACTCGCGAAAAACAACGCATCCTTCAAGAGCGACTAGCCAAAGCAGAGGCAATGCTGGCCGCCGCAGGTGTCAACCTTGACACTCAAATCATCAGCATCGACTTGTTTCCCGCCACCACTGACAATGCTTCTACCATCCAAAACTTGAATGCACCTGGCGCACCAATGGTCGCGAACCTACCCGGCGGCTCGCCCAGAATGCAGTCTGTCAACACCGGACTAGATAAGGTGTCTGAGCAGGCTTTTACTAGCACCTTTTCCCTCGAATTCGCGTCGAGCGCCCAACCAGTCGAATCCGCTCAGACGATGCAAGGTGTGGAGTCTCACGGAATTGATCAAGAGCCCATGACTGTTGAACTCGAGAATCTGAACAACATGTCAGGCTACGTGGCCACGGTCGAATCATCTCTGCCATCAGATGCCTATCCAACCCGTCACGAGGACGATCTAGCAGAGAGGCAAAAGGGTCGAGCTTCGACGTCGCCGGATACTGTACGTCCTGCCTTCTAGTACGTTGGACAACTTCCAAAACTGACGTAAATGATTGCGAAGGATATTCAGGAGGATGCGCTGGAGCATCATGGTAAATTATTGTCCCAAGATGCTAGGACACGAGTCGAATTTTGCTGACGCTCAACAAGGTGAGGCATCGTACCTGTCTATTTGCTCGCAGGCTGGCATGAACTGGGCTTCTAATGGCCTAGGATTGACTGGCTTTGCCTCAAGCGCTGCTTCTCTAAACTCTCTCGTCTCAAGAAGACTCAAATTACAAAGTAAATTGTCTAACGCCAGGACACCCGAGCCAGATGTCTCGACAGCGTGGAAATATACAGATGGTAAGGCTTCAGCTCTAAAGTACTCTTCCGGTCACCATTAATCCCGTCATAGCGTTTTTCGAAGAAAGCCTGGAAGCACCCCTCCAGCCTCTCCGACGTGAAGTCTTCGGAACATATTTGCGAGCATTTTTACGAACAACTCCAACTCATCACGAGGATCCGGCCTTGTATGCGCTACGACATGTCGTCTACGCGTTTGGAGCGCGAATTGCACACTCTCGCAGACCATCTGCGAATGCTTGGATAGAAGCGCAGCGTATTTCCTGGAAATATTTTGAAAATGCTCTCGCAGTACATACACAACTTGTATACTGTCGTTCGCAACTACAGGCCGTGGAAAGTCTCCTCCTGATGGTGAGAACCGGGATAGGTACCCTCCATATAAACACACTGACTTGTCTAAATCAGGCCTTGTTCACAGAAGGTCTCGGAAACCCCAAGCTGGAATATATGCTCATCAGCAATGCCGCCCGACTGGCACAGTCCAAAGGCCTGCATTTAGATATTTCTGGGTCTAGTGGACCACGGGACGACAAAGAGCTAGAATATCGAAGTGTCCTCTTCTGGTCGATATATTGTTACGAGAAACATAATTCATCTTGTTCAGACCGGGCGTCTGTATGTGTGACATTTAAATTTCAAGATCCAAAAAGCTGACCTACTAAAGGCCATTGACGACGATGACATCAGCTGTCCTTATCCGTCCAAGCCGCTGCACGGGTCAACAACCAACCTCGAGATCTTCCTGCAAAATATTGAGTTGGCTCGGATCAAGTCGACTATATCGAAGCAACTGCTTGGTGTGAGCGCCCGGCGTCAATTTCAAGCCACGCGTTTGGAATCAATCCAACAACTTGCTAAGCGCCTGCATGAATGGCGAAGCCAGCTTCCGACGAAACTTCACTTTGAGCCAGCTTATGACCCGAATGGATCTGCTGAAAAGGTGCGGACGGAGTATACGTTGTACTACCACCTCGCCTACCATGCATCGCTCATCACCATCTACGGTGCCGCAGGTAAACCCTGGATCAAGAACAACTCAAATATCGGGCCCGAGCGGGACCAGGTGGCTAGAGCTACGCCGGAGGATAGCAAGAATCCAGTTGCAGAGTCGTCGAGAGAAATCATTCGCGCCATGCGGCACATCCAGATAGACTCTGCAGCTCCAACTTGGTAAAATCCAGAACAGAAGGTCGCCTTGCTTATCAGTACCCAGACACGCTAACATTGACTGCAGGTTGACAGTCTTCTACCCAATTCTGGGCATGATCCATCTTTTTATCCACATCGTGTGCTATCCGAATCTGCCCACGGTGCCATCTGACATCCAGCTCGTCGAAATGGCTGCCGGCTACTTTGGCCACCTGGACTATTCAACGGAGTCCTCTTTTTCCCTTGGCTTTATTCGAGATCTCGCTCACTGGGCGCGAGTGCGTACGACAGACGGCATTACTGAAAAGTCACAGGTAGCCAGGCCTGCAACACATCCAGTGTCACCAATGATAAGTGCAATGGGTTTTCTTCCTGGGGTTGTGGACGATTTCTTTTCCAGACAAGTGCGTTAATCGAATCTTTCATGCTGCGTCTTTGATGCTGACCTGTTATATTAGAGCTGGATGTCAGACCCATCCAACATCATATCGGATGATTGGAGAACTTTCACCCCTTCTTTCTCGCAGGCGCAATTCATGCCCTGGAATTATGACTCCAATACCATGTTTGAGCAGTGACTTGCGCACCAGCAATCTCTGCAGCACGTTCTACAACAGACTAGGTGAGGGCGAAGCAGGGTTTCATACTCTAGAGTATTGAGTAATACTCAATAACATAGCCGTCGCCTGACCTCGTCGTCGCTCCTTTTTTTTACATCATAGACTGTCCCAGCCGCCGATTAAGTGGCAGCTACGCAGCGGTCAACTATGAGTAGGATACCCCTACTAATAATCATGATATCTGTTCTGTATCTGTTCTACGTGTCGGACCCTTCCCAGCCCTCCTGTGTTCCTGTTTATCAATAAACACTCGTCTGCGCCGGTGTATAATTGGACCGTGGATGCGACCGAGGGGACTTGGTCCGCGGCATTTGTCCAATCCGCGTTCTGCTTGGCTGGATTACTGTCGCTGGGGGGCATTGCCGAGCGCCTGGCCGGCCTCAGTGCGATAGCCACTGGTTGGGTTTGCGCTGCATGAAGTGCAGATGTACTGTATGGGAAGTACGTGGAGTGTGCGAGGCTTGCTCGTTGATGTTTCTGTGTCACTGCTTGCTCTCGACTATCGAGACACCATCGGCAGCCGGACGCGTCGCCACGGCGTCTTTCGCGTAGATGGCGTGCCGCGATGTCAGTCTTTGGTCGACAGCGAGATCACCCACACCATGGCTAGATCCAAGCAGAATGATCACGTGCGACACCTCGGCCTGCTTAATGGCATTGCGCTGGTTCTCGGAATCCAGATTGGATCAGGGCTTTTCTCATCTCCATCACTAGTGGTTCGCAACACTGGATCTGAGCAAGTCGCCCTCCTGGTCTGGATCGCGGCAGGTTTGCTCGCGTGGACATGTGCCAGTGTCTACATCGAACTTGGGATTCGTCTCCCGTACAATGGCGGGCCTCAAGAATATCTGTCTCATTGCTTCAGCGACACTTTTGATTGCGTTGCTTCATGGGCTACGATTTTCATAATCAAACCGTGTTCAGCTGCGATGCTGTCTCTAGTCATTGCCGAGCACATATGCAACGCCATCCACTCGGCACAATCGGACTATCTTAAGTACCCTCTGGCCTTTATGCTGATCACATTCGTCGCGGCTATAAACTGTATCAGCAACCGAGCCAGTCATGCCACGACGAAGGCTGCCCTGACTTGTAAGATTTTGGGAATCAGCACCATTGTCCTGTCCGGTCTTGCGTACTTCTCATCTCAGGGTGGGCTTCCACAACCCAAATCCGGTCACGAGGCTTCACAAATGCCGAGGCATCTAGGAAATTATAGAGATGCTGTGCTGTCTGCAATGTGGGCTTACTCGGGGTGGGAAACAGTAAGCATAAATGAGCACGGTCGAGTAGACCCGCAAGAGCTGAATCAATACATAGTTGTCTTTCGTCGGTGGGGAGCTAAAAGACTCTTCCCGCAACACATCCCGGGTCATCAACAGTTCAATGACAGCAGTCCTCATTCTTTACTGCCTGGTCAATCTCGCGTATTTTTCAGTCTTGTCAATGACGGAGATTGTATCGTCCAACACCATCGCACTGGTAAGGCTGAAAATGGCTTCCTTTAGTCTTGCCAAGATGATTCTCTCGACACAACGACAGAGTATGACGGCCTCCACCCTCGAATATCTGGTCTGTCTGAGATTCTGGTGGAAGAACGGGCCTCTCAACAACCCAGAGAGAGTCTAACATCTCGAAGTTCAGCTAGCGTGTGAACATGCTCGATGGTGTTGACTCCTCTGGCGAGAGTACTCTTAAGAATTACCTAAGCCTTGGCAGATCTATAGATATCTGCAGATAGATCAGATCAGATCAGATGATGCGCTGCTGACTAAAGATCAGATCAGATCAGAGGGATGATCTGATCTGATCTGACCTATTCGGAGCGCTGCATCTATCTACATCTACATATAGTCTACATCTATCTATCTATATCGTGAAAGCTGACTAAGCATCTACATCTGTCTACCTGAGGCTCCCATAGATAGATATAGATAGATTCGCCAGCCTGACGCCATTGTCAACGCAAACGAGGCATTCAAGACTTTTCACGCCCATATCTAATGTTTCAATACTCGGCAAAACCGCATGTGTGCTCAGATCTCGAACATGTTCCATGAACAAGTGGTTTCCGTAGTCTTTCGCTTTGATGATAATTCGTGCAACGATGATGGCATGGGTAGCCCAAACACCCAGCGCTCCTATCCACATCTTAGTACTCGAGATTGTCGGTGAGTTGAGGACGAACTCGTCCGTTCCCTCTTCGAAGGTCGCAAGCGTTTCAACTCCCTGAAGATTGCTGCCATGGGCCATCTATGTCTGGGCGTATGGGCCTGTGATCTCAAACTGCTCTGCTAATGACACCCAGAACGCCTAGTGCTCGGGCTCATTTGAGCCTCCAGGGTTTTCATGAAAGCTATTTCAGCAATTAGCATTTTTCCGTTGTCCAGACATCAAAAATAAGAATTCTCGCTTCGGAATTGACCATGGCCAGGAAGGTGGTCTGCAATCATCCTGTGTGCTTTGAGGAAATGATCGCGGCTCCATCCTTTTCGAAACCATGTGTTAATCAGTCCTTTGGCCTGCTGTACCCTGAACACCCACAAGTCCCGTCGAGACAGAGAGTGGATGTTCACGCCATTGTTCAGCACAGGATTGCGTTGACTTCCTCCAAAATTTCAACCCGGGGCTGAAGTCTGTCTCTTACCCAGATGAACTGCGCAAGGGGACCAGTATCTGGTTTTTGGGGTTGGCTCATAATACCCTGCTTCTTAGAGTGAAATAGACTTGGTTAATGAAGTTCACAGTAAGGGTAGACACACAAGTCCAGTCTTTGCTCATGCCAAACTCAATTTAGTGTTGTCTCTGCGCCTCTGGAGATTCCATGACCCACGTATTCTAAGCGAGGCCCTCGGTTATCTGTGCAGACGAGGGCGATGAAGATGATCCCGACGCAGGTAATTGGTCCGATACGATGGAGGCGCATGACCCAGCATACCGACGGAATCGTTATCATGGAGAAAGTACCTTCAGGGTGGTAGTCAGGCTCGGTAGATTCGCTCCAGCTCAGGTTCCTGTGTCACAAGGTTCTGGTTCCATTGCGCACTCCCTAATCCTATTTGGAACTACAGAAGTTTACTCTAGACAAGCTCAGACTGCTTGCAACAGATCATATCACCGTGTTCTGGATAGAATTTGAAAATTGATATGGAACAGATTAAAAATAATGGTCATCGCCAGTCTCTTTTAGCAAGGTATCCAGCGGACTTTTCAAACAGGGTTAGGTGGAGGTTCTATGTAGGCCTCTCTGATAATGTTCACAGGAAGCTATAGCCCCGATACATAGTAATTCCACAGTCAAGGCTTCCACTTTCTACAAATGGTAGCCCCTATTTCTGTGTAAAGCCGCCGTCTGCCACAATCACAGCCCCAGTCACCATTGAGCTCCGGCCCCCGGACAACCACACCACGCAATCTGCGATTTCATGAGGCTGTCCAATCCTTCCTATCGGGACCTCACGCGCCACCTTTTCCTGCACAATCTTGCCGAGGAGTGGTTCTCCACCGTTCCCTCGTGACAGTGGTGTGTCAGTATAACCAGGACAGACCGCATTGACGCGGATACCGTCCTTTGCATAATCTTCGGACGCGGCTTTTGTGAAACCTATAACTGCGTGCTTCGACGCCACATATGCAGCGGACATAGGTGCCCCAACAACACCCAGAATCGAGGAGAGGTTGACAATTGATCCTCGTCGAATGGCATCTTTGTTCCTGGAAGAAATAATGTGCTCTTGGCTCAGCATGACCCTCAGGACCGCTCTGCTCATATAGAATGTGCCGTTCAGGTTGAGATCCAAGACTCGTGCCCAGTCCTTAGTCTCTGCGCGAGCAGTTCCTCCAACATGCTTCACAGTGGTACCTGCGCAGTTGACCAAGTAATCAATCCTGCCAAATACTCGGGCAATCTCATCCACAGCCTTTCCGACTTGGTCCTCGTTCGTTACGTCGAGCTGATAGGCGAGCACACGGCAATCTTTGTGTTCGAATTCGATCTCAGCTTTGACCGTGTCTAACGCTGTCATGCTGATGTCTAGTACAGCAACCCCAGCAGCACCCTCGCTTGCGAAAGTAATAGCGCATGACCTCCCGATGCCAGATCCTGCCCCGGTTACCAATGCAAACCCAGGCACGTCCATCTCGATGATTATTACTGACCTAAACCTCGAGGCTGAATGCAGCGTACATTCACAGCGTACAGGTCACCTATGTGCCAGCGTGAAGGTTAACACCGAAACAGAACAACAAAATAATTAGTTGAGTTGGCGATGTCGCTGTGAGACCAGAGGACTGCTCTGCCCCTCGTCCGATCCCTCGGACTCGATCTAGCCCTCCGAGAATTCATGGAACAGCTCGGATCAAAACCAAACACCCGAGGTACAGAGGTCGTTCGAACCTTCCGAGCATCCTGGGGGAAACTCCACCCACTTCGGACTTTCGCACACGAACAGTGGCGAACACCCATAACCCCGCGCGGTAGGTAACAAGGCTAACCCTGGCCCCAACATTTTAGACTTTAACGACTGAAGTTTGCGCCAAGAGAGAGCTTGGAACTCGGAGAGCAGTCGCTTCGTCCAGGAAACTTGTAGCAAGGAACACTGCACCTTGTGGAAAATATCAATGCTAGAACATGCCACGCTCTCACTGGCTTGTTAATGCATCCTTACACAACACTCAGTTGCAGAGACGTTATAACAACTAGGAATGATGCCGTTTGGAAGAGTGCCTTCAGACGAGTTAGTATGGGTCATTTGAAGTATACATTGGTTCAGGTAGCCCCGAACGCGGAATAACCGGGCGACATCAAGGGTTGGGAAGCCAGACCAGAGCTCAAATGATGCCCTATAGGACTTCATATGTTAGGGAGAAAAGGTGTGTGAATTGTAAATATGTAGGCTCAAAAATCTCATAGATATCGTCTCAATCCTAGTGAAAATTTGTGCTCTTAGCACGATGTGATATCGGAGGCTGCCGTCTGACAGAGCAGTTGTTTAGCCGCTATAAAGGCAGACATAGCCTCTCACTACCTGCTACGATAGGGTATCCTTGACTGACATGGAGTATACTAGAGCTTAACCCCTGGTATAGGGCGAGACACTCGCTGACCGTGCACAAAACTTATCATTTTCAATTTTTGCAACGGTTCACCAACAAGCTCTCCTCGCAGGACCCCGTACACATTCATCTTTGCTTTCGACTTCCATCGATTGGCATATTCCTCCGCAAGTGCATCCATCTCCGTGGATGGTGCTATAGCATCCACCACGCCGTCCACAAGTGCCTCCTTTCCAGTAAATCGGTATGCCTCGAGGAGAAGCTTCCGAGCGACCTGAGGCAACAACTTAGCCTTGGGTAAGGCTCCTATGCCGTCCCAGTGTAGGCCCAAATTGACAGGTACCATGGAGAAGTATCCCCGGTCTGCGTTCATGATTCTGTAGTCGTGGGCCAGGGCAAATAGACACGCGCCGCCAAAGGTGTGTCCAGTGATACATGCGATCGTAGGGTAAGGAAAGTCTAAAATCGTGTGAAGCATCTGAAAGGCATGTCAGAAACTCGGGCGGGCTACGAAAGGATGCTTCTTACGGGGAAGAAGCCATCTGGTTCCATAAAGGGGTTCTCCCTTGCACAATCTAGATCCACTCCCTGAGTGATGTCAGCCTCCTGCGACGACAGCCTAACTTGTGTTGACCTACAGTACAGAAGAACTTCGGGTTGTTACCACGTGTGATGACAGCGCCTTCGAAATCGGGGCCAAGGGTGGCCTGTATAGTGTGGAATGCCCCGATAATCTCTCGACAAAACTCCAGGTTCAGCTTATTTTCGGCTCCGTGGTCCAGAGTAATGACAAAAACCTGGCCCTTTCTATCGAGCTTGATATATTTGTAGGCTTGCGACAGGGATTGGTCTGAAAGAGTGTCCATCGTCATTGGCGGTGATCGGCAGGCACGTTGCAAACAACTGGATACACTCCAGATAACAGACACAGGGTGCGCGTGGTTTGTCTTGGAAGTTCTGGCATACAAATTGTAGGGGATGCTTTACATAGTCCCTAAGATCACAAAGACGACTCTTAAAGAGCACTCTCGGTGGCCCTTCAGCGGCTTCATATCGGCACACAGGCCCCGTAGCGTTCGTCCTCAGGTCTCTATGAGCCTCGCGGAATACCTGATCAGATATCCGTTTGCCGACAGTTCTAGTTGTGAGCATCCTCGTGTTCAAACCACGTTCACAGAGCAAGCTGTACTACCCCGAGGAACTCCTCGGAAAGGTGTGGGGATCCCACACCAAGCACCGTATCAAACGACGAACATGATGCCTTGGCACAATCACAATCCCGGCATGCTCGGCAAACATACAGTGGTGGTGAATTGATTTGTGAAGATGGTTGCAAATCGACCGATACAATCGACAGAAACATCCATGACTACCATTTTGAAAACACTGGCCTCAGCTGGGCTGCGGTTTCCATTAGCCTTATGCTTCTACGGCATCCTTCTCAAAGCTCAACACTAATTGTTCTCGTCATCGTAGACCTCATTCTGCGAAGCAGGAGTATCCTCAAAACAGCACCGGTCCTCGGAGCCTCGTTTCAGCCCATTTGCGGGAATAATTTCCTAGTTAACCGTGGTCAAAGTTTCGACTTAGGAAATACTTTTTCTGTCCCTAATGATGTCAGGGCCTGGAATGATAACGAGGACAGCCTTAGGGAGTACTTACGAGCCATCTTTCGACTTTGGTCCTGGAATCGTTTCTCATACAGACCCTCTGCCACCCTCTCACTGAGTGCGTTTAGAGAATCAAAGACCGCCAGAACCCTATCCTTTCTAAGAGGCAGATTTTGTAATCGCTTGGCTTCCAAGAGACTACCACCATCGTTGATAGATAGCTGCTCCTCGAGGAATCGCACAACACGAGGAAGGAAATCCTCTGACGGAAAGAGTTTGTTCACCAATCCATGTTGCATCATTGTTTCTGCCGTCGTTCTCTTTCCAAACATCAAGAATTGATTGGATCTATGAACGCCAATATGGTGTGCAAGAGTGGTCGCAGAGCCGAACTCAGGTACAAGGCCCAGTCGGCTAAAGGGTGATTCAAACCAAGCATTTTCTGCCGCGAATACAAGGTCAGCAACACCCGGCATCCATGTTGCACCTCCACCAAGCGCTGGTCCATTCAGTGCCAACACTAGGACCTTGTGGTGATCAATAAGTGATCGCATGATTTCGAGATCTATAGACAGGGTCGCAAAAGTAAATCAGTGAAAAAGGTAGGGGCTCTCATGGTGAAGAGATAACTTACTGACAACTTTCGTTTCCAAGAAAGAGATCTTCCTATCCACAAAGCTTGCGTCTTTGGCGGCAGAGCTTTTGGGCGTGGCTTAAATGTCATGATTAGTGGGTTGTTCATGGAAGCATGCATTTACAACATGAGGCAGGCTTTAGAACACCTTTCACATCTGCACCAGCGGAGAAGAATCTCCCTTCCCCAGATATAACGGTAAAAATAGTGTCAGGGTGATTGTCCAATTCTCTGAGCGCAGCGGCTAGATCAATCAACATCCTACCCCCGAAGGAATTCAGAGCTTTCGGGCGGTTCAACTACGTCAATCAGTCTTCGTATCGCACAGATCTTGAAAAAATAAACTACCTTGACGACTCCAATCCTATCGTGGATCTCGAGCACCACTTCTTTGTACTTGTGTCTGGCTTCTTCGTGGGCCATGGCCATGAATCAACGTCTTGTGGGGTCTGAACTATCTGCTATTTCAAAGACCATGTGCAAACTGGTTTGGTAGCAGGAGTATGACTCGCAGGTCTGAAGGGCTGTGCCGGGCGTCTCAATATACAGTACGTTCTGCAATTTGCAAGTTGCAAGGTTATCGCGCCAGATGTGCGGAATAGTTCCCAAATACGCAGTCTTTGATCAACAAACTTTGTACAGGAGAGTGACACGCCCGTCAGCGGGTAAATAAATCTTGTACAGTCGACCAGGAGACTTCTTGCTAGTGGCGCCACATCTTGATTCCGAGTTCTAACTTTTTGAGTTTGCCGGTGGCTGCAGCCGGAGATCGTCAGCATATACCTCGGTAGGGTGGTCGGAACCTATTCGGATCGGTCTCAATAAAAGTGAATGTTTGCTCATGGGTTTGTTAACCTACGTTGAAAACTTCTCTACACTAATAATCACTTCTCCTTTTAACAACTAGTCACTAATAGGGCCACTGTCCATTGACCTAATGGGAGACTCTAGTGGATGTTTCCGCCACGATGGTTGGGATCAGCCTGACCACGAAGTTCTGATAATCGGGGCAGGACTCTCCGGCTTGCGGACCCTGATTGCTATGAAACAATTAGGGCTCGGTGCCAAAGTCATTGAGAGGGGATCAGACGCTGGGGGTGTATGGTATTGGAACCGGTATCCGGGTGCCCGCCTAGACTCTGAGAGCTATACCTACACGTTTTCTTTTTCGCAGGAAGTCTTGAACGAATACAGTTGGGGAGAGCTTTTCTCCGCCCAGCCAGATGTGCTGAAGATGGTTCATCATTATGTGAACAAATTCAAACTCCGGGAGAATATACAATTTAATACCGAGGTCAAGAGAGCACATTATCTGGAAGAATCTCGCTCATGGCTGTTAACTGACCAGAACGGCCGCTCATACACATCAAGATTCTTGTTCAATTGTCTGGGACCTCTGACCTCACCAACTCTACCTGACATCCCTGGGATCTCCGACTTCAGAGGGGTGGCATATCACACTTCTCGTTGGCCCCACGAAGAGATCAGCTTCGAGGGCAAACGTGTTGGTGTTATTGGGACTGGAGCAACAGGAATCCAAGTCATTCAAGAGGTGTCGAAGCAAGCGGCTTCCACATTCGTCTTCCAACGCACAGCTAACTGGACAGCTCCAATGGGAAACGCGAAGATCTCAGCAGCGGAGATGGAAGAGCTTCGCGAACGACTCCCAGGAGTTCTTCAAACGTGCCGATCCAACCCCTTTGGTTTCAGGTTTCGACCAGTAGCCAAGAATACGCTTGAAGTACCAGAAGAGGAGCGGGAGAGGTTTTGGGAAGAGCTTTACAATGCCCCAGGGCTTTGCAAGTGGGTTGGGAACTACCAGGATATTCTGACCAATCCAGAAGCCAACGCTCTTTACAGTGTGTGGATGAGGGAGAGAATTCGGAAACGAATCAACGATCCCACTCTGGCAGAAAAGCTTCTCCCTAGACATGGCTTTGGTCTCCGACGAGTTCCACTCGAGAGTGGCTACTACGAGTTATTCAACAAACCTAATGTCAAGTTGATCGACTTACAAGAGACGCCGATCACAAAGGTCACCTCAACAGGCATCCAGACTAGCGCAGAACACGTTGATCTGGACGTCCTCATATATGCCACTGGATTCGACGCACTCACTGGCTCCTTCGAAGAGATCGAATACTACGGTGAAGGGGGAATGACGCTGAAGGAGAAGTGGGCAGATGGGCCTTGTACATTCCTCGGTCTGACTGTGAGATCCTTTCCAAACATGTTCAACATCCTTGGGCCGCATCAATCGACAGGCAATATGCCCCATGTGATTGAGTACGCGGTTGAGTGGACAAGCCGACTCATTAAACATGGTATGGAAAGGAACGTTACCTACATCAACGCTCAGGAAGATGGAGAGAAATGGTGGACCGAACATGCACTTTCTCTGGCTCAGGGTCAGCTTGCCTTCAGCGTGGACTCGTGGATGACCGGTTTTGTTTCTAACAAGGCTGGTAAGCGTCAACGAAGGATCATTCGTTATTTTGGCACCAACAACGAGTTCCAACGGCGATGTAACAGTATTGAGTCGGATGGGTACAAATGGCTGACTTTGAAATAACGGCTGAACACAAGAAACTATGCTGTGCCCTCGGGTGAGACCGAAGACAGTTCCTAGCCTCCTGCAGCATGGGATTCGTAGGGAGTCTCTATCCGTCAGAAGACGAGGAACTATATGAAAGGTACTGTTACGTTTCGCTCCACCTGAGGTGTCACAGCACGTAAGGGTTTCTAGACAAGTGGGAAGTATAGGAGGGACGAAGTCTCTGAGAGCGTATAGTACAGAGCGAGTCGATGTACTAGAAGCGAAGTGACCACAACCAAAACGTATGGGTATGATCGTGAACGAAGTTGACTACGTAGTAAGTCTATGTAACGACCGTGTATATATACGGCAGTAGTGTTGTGCTGCACTGTCGTAGTGCTGTTGTGCCGCTCACTACAGCACTCCAGTACCACAGCACAACTCCCTCTTTCCTAATCGGGAAGTCTCGTGTGCCAGCCTTGCAAGCAAGGCTGCCCTCGCTGGACTTGCCGCCTCTGGTGTCCCGTGGTCACGGGTTGGTATGCGGCCTGCGGGCAGGCCGACTTGTAACAGGTACATTATAGTCCAGTTCAGCCAGTAATCTAAGGATGTGTCTTTGCATTGTCAGAGCTTCACATAAACAGAGCTCGGAATGGATGGATAAAAATCCACCATCCATGGATATCCATGGATGATGCGCTAGCCTTCATTAGGAAACAGTAACCCCCATTGTCGCGATAGATACGCGCTCTGATTGGCTGGTTGAAAACGCGTCCGGGAGTAATTTGACCTCGCCGTGGCATGTTTGATCGACTTGCCTGCAATGATAGGCCAGCGACATCCGTCTCACAATATACATCTCATTAGGCAATGCATATGCGTTTCGGGTCTTCTGGGTAGGGTTATGTAGACATGTATATATCTCGGTTGGGGGAGTCTACGACTAGGATATGGTGCCTCACGTCTCAACTCTCAAACCTCATGCTATCACCACGACGCCTCCGTCCGACCTAGCGAACCTTGATCCCTGATGTGCGATGACACTCGGCTTGAGGCGCAATCTTCGGTTCTTTCCACTCTGATTGATGATCCTGAAGCGCCTACCGATTTCCAACGAAGCTCTGATCACGAGAAAGTCGTTGAAGCTGACACTGATACACCTCCTCCTGCGCCGTCAAGATTCGCGTATCAGGCAATCGATTTTTCACGCCTTAGAGGTTTTCACATTCCACTCCACCATCCCAAAGAGTTGACGAGCTGGTTCTGGGGTTATGGCGTACCGCTAGAGCACCAAGATACCGGCACCGAGAGATTATTCCTTTGTTCACAATGCCACCAGGATGGATCGGTTTGGAACAAGCACAAGTGGAATATACAAAATGGCTCGAGCAACGTCACCAACCATTTACGGGATGTCCACCACGTGGCAAAGGATGGCGAGCTCCCGACGAAGAAGCGGAAGCTGAGCATTATTGACCAGTTACAACTCAGTGCCAGCCAGCCTCGCGAGCAAGCGATCGTCAACACGCTGACCCAGAACTACAATCATCACCGTTTCAAAGCTCTCCTCGTTCGGTGGGTCGTGCACGACAATATCGCCTTCCACAAGATTGAAAGCCGGCGTTTCCGGGACTTTGTTACCTACCTCCACCCCTCCACCGAGAACTCACTCCCGAGCGACAAGACGCTCAAAGCATGGCTCATCCAAGCCTTTCGGTTGGGTAAGGATGATGTCTTACGGCGGCTACAACAATCCATTGGGAAAGTGACGATATCCTTTGATCTGTGGAGTTCGCGAAACATGCTTGCTCTCCTTGGAATATGCGTTCACTTCCTGGATGGGAATGGTAGGTACCAGAGTTTCCTTTTAGCAATGCCGGAACACGATGGGACACATACCGGGGCCAACATTGCCGCCAACATCCTGGAGATTATCCGCGAATTTCAACTTGAGGGCAAGATCGGGTGGTTCGTCTGCGATAATGCGTCCAACAACGAGACATGTCTTAAGGAGCTAGGCGATACTCTGGGATTCGATTGGAAACGGCGGCGGCTCAGGTGTATGGGCCATATTATCAACCTGATAGCTCGGCAAATCCTGTTCGGAGATGATCCTGAAGCTTTCGAAGCGGAGGCGTCCATGGCCCCGGATGCCAAGATGGAACTGTTACTCTGGCGGCGTCAAGGGCCGGTCGGCAAGCTCCATAACATTGTTGTTTGGATATCTCGTTCGTCCCAACGCGTTCAGCGGTTTCTCAAGCTTCAGACGTTATATTCCGACGATGTTCCCTTGCATCTCGTTGTTGATGTCGTGACACGTTGGAATTCCAGCCTTGACATGATCGAACGGGGCGTGAAGCTCCGGATTGCCATTGATTCCTTCCTTGACGAGGAGCAAAGAAAGTATGACGAACATCTTGCTCGGTTGACCGATAACGGCCGGAGGCCTGTCCCCAAGCGCCACAAACCCCGTCCATCCATTTTAGAAGATCGCATTAGCCGCGAAGATTGGGAAGTCCTGACCGAATACATGGCCATCCTAGCTCCTTCAAAGAGATCACCAAGGAATTGGAAGGCCAGCCTTACCATGGTCATCGCGGCTCAATCTGGGAAGTTCTGCCTAGCATGGAATATCTCCTGGAACATCTGGAGGCCATGAAAGAGCGCTACGAGTATCATCCGGATATCCACTTCCGCACCAACATCAATCTTGGCTGGTCCAAAATCGATGAATACTACAATCGCACCGAAGACTCTCCTGCCTACGTGGCGTCTCTGGCCCTCCATCCGCAGTACAAGTGGCAGTGGATTGAGGCTGAATGGAAAGAATTCCCGGATTGGATAGTCGAAGCCAAGGAGATGGTTGCCGGGCTTTGGAAAGAGTATAAGGAAACCGCAGCGGAGGAAAGCATCGAGCAAGTGCCGCAGTCACACCGGGAACTGAGTGGATTTCGAGCCCGGCTTCAGTCGCATCAGCATCCGCCCGTCATCGAGGATCAGGAAGACGAGTATGCGTCCTGGATCGGCCGGGAACCACCCCACCCGGCGGTCTCGAACCCGATTGCATACTGGGTCGAGAATAGACGGCGGTGGCCTCGACTGGCGCGGATGGCTCTGGGCATTTTCAGTATACCAGCCATGTCATCGGACCCTGAACGTATCTTCAGTCTCAGCGGTGACATGGTGTCCCCGAAGCGTAATGGGCTCCAAGCCGAGACTATCGGAGCGGCTCAATGCCTCAAGAGTTGGGACAAGAATAGGGTGTTTGATATATCCAAGGCTTTTGGTCCCAAGAGTGACAGCGACATGGAAGTACAGTAGGTGCATGGCAGAAATTATTCGCTATGAGCTGTAGGCGTTAGCAGTATTGCCCAAAATCAAAGTGCTGTACCATATCGTTGTTGTAACCTGTCACGTGGTCCGAGCACGTGACCACCATCCATGGATGACGGATATCCATCCATATCCATCCATTCCGAGCTCTGCACATAAATGTCCCGGTCGAAGGACACTTCATCGTTCTTGGGATTGTTTTTTTGGAACCCTTATCAGTCAAACATGGGAAGGGAAGAGTCAGACTACCAACAAGATTCCGCGAAAATCGGTGTGTCTATGGTGTTCCGAGGCGCCGAGCAAACATCGATACCTCGGAACCCCAGTCTCTGGCGCTTGGCAGCCCAACTCCACTTATGGAGAGCCAGTAAGGAATAATTATCACGAGGTCACATTAATGAATGCAACCTTGAACCTACTTTCTGCTTACGGGACCGACAAAAATATGAAAACATAATGAAGTTTATGCATTCCCTGTCGCTTCCATCACCATTTCCCTCGGATAGTGACAATGAAATCGTGGAGTTGACACCTCGGCTTATGTCCTTACTTTTCATCAGCTCTGCTCCCAGCTTCGCTTACCCTTTGAAGACAATTATACTGGTCTTATCTTGAATGTTTGTGTTCCCTCCTTCACTACTTCACTGATTCCCGCGAGCGGCAGACGTGAAAAGTTCAACCACGTACGCAACGTCGGGTTCGGGAACGACAAATCGCGAAATTTTGGTCATATCACTCTTCAGGTTCCTGTCGGATTGCAGCGATGCTGCTAGACGCTTTGGTAGAGCCTTTGAGGCCGCTCGCGGCCCGGGGTCTGTTTCAACTGGCTCTGGGACTGCTGGTATGTAAAAAAATCTTATCGGCCTTCTAGTCATCGTCAGATCATTGAAACTGATTCATGCTCCGATGTTGCAGCTTTTGGGGTCTCTCCTCATACTTCTCACCACAGTGATCTACCGTCTATGGATTCACGATCTTCGGAGATTTCCTGGTCCCAAGCTTGCGGCTGTGAGCCGCATCCCCTATCTCTGGCAGGGATATAACGGCAACCTGGTCGCCTGGGTCAGTCAACAGCACGAGCGATACGGAGAGATAGTTCGGATTGCACCGTACGAATTGAGCTTCACCAAGCCAGAAGGCTGGGACGAGATCTACGGGCATGCGACCCGTGGCCGAAAGCAAACGCAAAAGGATTTGCGGTTTCATAATGACAAAACCATGGGCGTAGTCCGCGACATCGTCCGAGCAAACGACGTGGATCACGCCCGCTACCGGCGAAACTTCTCCCACGCCTTTTCAGAGCGAGCCCTGAACGCGCAGAATCCTTTGATAATGAAGTATGTGGACTTGCTCATCTTCAAGCTGAAGAAAATCGCGTTGAGTCCAGATCCAAGGGTTGATATCGTACGATGGTACAACTTTACTTCCTTCGACATCATGAGCGACCTAACCTTTGGTGATCCATTGGGCCTGCTCGAGAGCGAGGAGTATGACGAGTTTGTCGTGCTGATGTTTGCTTCGGTAAAGGCTGAGATGATGCAAATGGTCTCTCGATATCTGAAATGGCTGAAGCCAATCGCCAAGATGCTGATCACTCAGGAGGCTATTGAGAAGCGAAAAAACCACTACGACTTTTTAAGAAGATCCGTCGATAAGAGACTAGCCCGACATAATCCCCGGCCAGATATTTGGGGCTTGGTAATCGAAGCAACCGGGGAAAAGAAAATGAACCTTGAAGAGATGTATGCCAACTCAAAATCCATCATGCTCGGAGGCACGGAAACCAGTGCAACGTCTCTCAGTGGGATAACTTATCTCTTGCTCACCAATCCCGTGGCGTACAAGACTTTGGTCGAGGAAGTCCGAAGTACTTTTCCAAGCGAACAGGACATAACCTCGACCAAGCTGCAGCAAATGCCCTACTTAAATGCATGCGTTGAGGAAGCCCTAAGGATGTACCCACCTGTTCCTGGTGGACTCCCTCGCATCGTGCCGCCCGAAGGTAGAGCGGTCTGTGGAGAGTGGATACCTGGAGATGTGAGTATTGTCATCATTGTGCCTTAATATTCTGATTGCGAAGTGAGAGCCACCCAGCTAATTACTTCAAACCCTCCAATAGGTCGTCGTGTCTGTACACCAGTACTCCACATACCGAAACCCAAAAAACTTCAAAGATCCCAATTCATTTCGGCCTGAGCGTTGGCTTAAGGATCCGGACTTTGCAGCGGACAGGAGAGACGCCTTGCAGCCCTTCTCGACGGGACCCCGAAATTGTGTTGGCATGAAGTAAGTCGAGGCTCTGCCACCCTTTCCCTCTTCGCAAGGAATTAAACTTCAGTTCGAGATCTGTGCCAGCGGCTTACGTTACTTAGTCTTGCGTACCACGAAATAAGGTTGATATTGGCCCGTGTAATGTGGAATTTTGACATGACCCTGTGCCCTGGGTCAGAGAATTTCCTTGACCAGAAAGTGTATCTCCTATGGGATAAGGGCCCCTTGGTGGTTGAGCTGAAACAGAGAAAGACCTGAAAGAAGTTCTGTTCATTCTCAAGCAGGTAAATCTCGGCGCTGGTCGCCTTGCATTGAACCTATTCGAAAGGCGACAGGGAGGTGTGTCTTCCCCTGATCAGAAAGGCGAGGCTTCCAGAAAGTTTGGATGGGTAGATTTGCGCCGACTTGAGAACGATTCAATGCAGCTGCCTTTGCACTCTACAGGTTCTTTGCGTATTGACAGCCATGAATGCTACTGTTGCGTCAAGTTGTTGAAATGAGAGGCTGGATATTGCATTCCCAGCCCCCAGGATCCCTAGATCGCTTGTATATAGAGGCGCTCTTCACCTCGAGAGAGAGGGAGGAATAATCAACCTTTTAACACAAGTATCATATTATCCCTCTCTGAATGAATTACCATAAATGAAGCCCAGTAGCCCAATCCTAGGTATCAATGCTATATTTAAAGATCTCGAAAACCAACTCGGCCTGGAAATCGGCTACTGCTATCTATAATTTCACAGCGCAGGATGCCCCCCATCTCTGAATGTCGGGATGGTCGGTGTCGAACAGCTTTACCTTCAAAGCGGCTTTTGGAGCCTTCATCATGGCAGTCCTCTCCAAGCTAGACACCACCCTCAGAATGGTTGGCAGCTTGTAATTTGACAGGCTTTGCTTGAGATCACGGCGGAATTCGCCAATTGTGTAGGTATCAGACTTCTGCAACAGACGCGTCCCATCAGCCATGCGTTCATCAGTGAATGGGACACAGCCTCCTGCAATGGAACCGTACTTACGTTCTTTAACACTATCGCGGCGGCAATACGTTGGCCGTACTCGACATCCTCAACACCAACGACCATGGCCTCTGCAACCTTTGGGAGCTTCGTGATTGCATTTTCGATATCAATAGCAGATATCTTGTAGCCTCCGGATTTTATAACTAGTAACGTCAGAACAAAGGAGACCATAATGAGAAATGAGGAGATCTCACTATCAATGGACGACCGACCAAGGATAAAGTATTTGTCCTTGACCCTTCGTGCGATGTCTCCAGTCTTGAAGTATCCTTCCTCGTTGAAGACTTTTTTGGTGGCTTCAGGATCATTCAGGTACTTTGCAAACATGTATGGACCCCGGACCAGGATTTCGCCCTCGTCTCCGTCGGAAAGTTTAACGTCAACTCCTGGTGTTTTAGTACCCACAGAGCCCTATCAGCCATCAGTTACGGCACAAACAAGAACAGTGCAGAGCTGGGAAGCATACTAAAGTGGCCTCGTCTCCAGGCCAACAACCAAATGTACTGCTGAATTCAGTACCTCCGTACCTTTCAAGAATCTGCCGGCCATTTGTGATTCGACGCCAGGTTTCAGCGACAACACGAGGGAGAGCCGATGTTGAGGAATGATAGTCTCGAATTTTCGAAAGGGCTAGGCTATAATTTTCCTTTTCTTTCTGGGGTAGCTGCTCGATTCGGGTGTTCCAGTGCTCAACCAGACGTACATACATAGTCGGAACCAGGCCTATGTGGTGATAATCTCCACTGATCAACCTTTTGAACACTCTTGCCGGGTCGAACGGTCCTGCCATAAATTCCACGCATCCACCAGCAAGAAGAACGGGCAGTGTATAGACAAAAAGGCCGGATCCATGATGCAGAGGCAGCAATTGCAGATTTATCGTCTTCTCTGAATACCCATGCTTCCTCATTAGATGCATTGAATACCCGTACACATTGTACCGACGCATCGCAGCCGCTTTTGGGTTCCCAGTGGAGCCAGACGTGAAGATAACAATTGCTGATTTGCTCTGGTCCGGTAGGCGACTCGCGGAGAAAACGATGGAGCTTGGCGCAATTATAGGAGATAGACAGTATTGAGTGGATGAGACTACCCTGAAGATCGACTCAAGATCTACGCTCTTTGAAAGCTTGGTTGCAGAATCGAGGTATTGGTTATTGACAAGAATACCACGTGCTCGGGAAATCTTTGCGATATAAGTTGCCTCCGGGATCGTCACTTGGGCATCTATAATTTCATTGTCAGAACAGATGTCTACTCCATTCCAGCCCCCAGATCTAGGCTATCATGGGTGGGATGTCGCGTGTGGGGACTCACTTAGAGGAACTGCAACGGCACCCAATGCAAGGACTGATAGAAAGGCGACCACAAATTCGTATCCTTCGGACCAGACACAAATGCAAACCTCGTGATCTGACCTCAGAAGCCCGATGGTGGTTGGGTGAAGCTGTGAGCAGAGTCCACTTACACAGCAGAGTACGTCGCTGAGAAGTTGCTTGTAGGTAACCCTGAATCCTCTGTCTTCATCCCTCACGGCCAAACTGTCGGTAGAGTATGCCCAGTGATGAATCGCATGGAAGAGATGCTCGTTGGGGAGGACATTAGGTCCTTCGTGCAATGGTATGAAATCTGTTGCATCAAAAGACCTATCTTCTTTTTCAGAGCGTGCCATGTTTGCTTTGCGTCTGTCTCGCGGATGAGGATGGCCTGATTTCGAAGAACAGGGACCGCAAGTATGCAGAATCATCGGCACAGTATAGATATCTTCACGTTATGCACCTTGCCAAGCGTGTGATACTCGAGCCTTTTCCCGGTATAAATAGCGTGATGTCGGTGTTCGGTTGCTTTGTCCTCGGAATTCCAAGCTGAGGTTGACTGGGTACGGAGATAAACTTTTTGCGCTATCCTATGTTCCCCATCTTTAAACACCTCGGTAAGCTGCGGGTGCCGGCCACTGAGACCCTGCGTCCCGACCACCACTTCCGATGGGCTAGAACTCGAGTATGTGGTCTACAAGCCCTATAAGTATTATATCGTGAAGTACGGCGTATTTCACATATAAATAGGCGCCAAGACTTGCGCGCCAAGATAGTAGCGTACAGTTCATTTCATACACCTCATTTCACTAACAAATCTTTTATCTTAGGGTTACGCAAGTATCACTCGTATCGCCTACGAATCGTACTCGATTATTGTTTGTAATTAGTTGGACAGATGATTTCTAAACTCATCTAAATTTTCAGCTTCAATTTCTCTCTCGTCGTTATGTCGCACGCGATTTCGTTACGACACAACTGACTATTCGCGTACAAGAGGCGCGTGAGAGCGAGAAAGAGCGCTGGCGGCAAATTCACGAGCCTCAGCACGTCTCAGAACTCACTCCATGGCTCCGTAATCGTCGATTCCCCCAACACTTAACTGAACTTGACGCCCATCTCATTCGAGACGCTATCGTCGTGCCCGCGAATCGCACGGACGACGTACGCTTATCGCTCGTGGTGGAATCTGTAGATCGAGTGCTTCGGCGCGCGTAGCACTCGTCGAGGATCTCTATCATATCGACGCAAAGATACTGAATACCTTCCAAGTCGGCACCGTTACGCAAGATCCATTCCAGCGACTCCAAAACGCTCGCTCCATTACGACGTATATCACGCTCTTTCAATCGATGATATGCTATTTTATTCGCGTGGTGGAGGGGTTTTTTGACAGTACGCTCTTTGAAATTACGCGCGAGCAGCGAACAGCACTCAATTCTATACTCGATCGTATTGCTATCTTCGAAACCAAGGCGTCTCGCACGAGTCACGCGAGCGATTCACTCGATACTAATATAGATGAAGAGAATGAAGAGAATAATGAGACGGTGAAGACTATATTTGTCACGGAGATTGACGAATATATATTTCAATTACTCGTCGCACTCATTAAGCATCGCACCGCGCGTACATTTGACAGCGCCATCACATCGTTTTGCGCCGTACGTGCGGCTAGCATTCATGGCGCCGGCGAAGCGGCGACGATTTCATGGCGCCCCGAGGGAGAGGTGAGTGGTATTTTCAGCAAATTAATATATTGCTGTCAACTCATCATTCTTCAACACGCCACTCATATCGCCGCGGCTGAGCATGCATCTGAGATCACCAACGCACTCGAAACGCTGGCGAGTCAGTGGATTCGAAGTCATAGTCGCGGACCCTTGAGTACCATGAATGATTGGCGACTCTATGCGATGCGCGTGGGTGCCACCACCGTTCCGCCCGCACTTGTCATATGGGACGCTGACGGCGAGAGTCTCACATATAACGACGTACGGTATGAGATATCCAATCTCGCCGACGAGATTATCTTCTGTCTCCGCGAGGCGCGGACGATTTTCATGCGAGACTTATTTGTGAACGCTGCGTGGGAGGACATTCCCACGTTCGATTTAATGACGTTGCAGGACAACTGGAGTAGTCGATTTCCAGGGTATTCATTCGTGGACGATACACGCAATGCTGCCACGCTCGAGCCATACCAAAATTGGCTCGTCGGGCGACTCACGCGCGATCCGGATGCGTTAGAAGGGGTTTTCGCATGCAACGACGATATGGCCCCGGTGAGTGAGTGGCGAGTTCGCAATACATTCGCCACGCAAATCAGCGCGCGGTCGAGCGCTTTCTCGAGTATCTTCTACCCGCAATCCACAAAGGCAGTGGCCAGCCCGCTCGACGTACCGAATTTCTCAGTCTTCGCTGGCGTAACGCATCCATGACGCCGCGAAATATTCGGCTTCATAGTGACTACGTTCTCTTTATTCTCGACTATCATAAAGCGCAAGTTCGTACGCACGCATCTCGCACTCTTGTTCGCTATCTATATCCCGCGGTCGCACAGCTTCTCATTCAATATCTTATACTCGTGCAACCGTTTTGCACGTTTCTCGCACAGGAGACGGAGATTCCGCGCCAGATTGGCGAGTATCTCTTCAGCAGTGATGTTCAGCCATGGCCCGAGGAGCGATTTACTCGAATCTTGACCCGCGTCAGACGACAGAGCATTGGACGCGCGGTCAACACGCACGCGTGGCGCCAGCTCTGCATTGCGATCGCCATTAAGCAATTTAGTGGGCGACAGTACGAGGCTGACGTCGACTTGCCCGGTAACGAGGATGACGAGTTGGCGGTGGAGAGCATGCGAATCGACGGTGTTACGCTACCGACATCATTTCACGCACAAGCGACTCACAGTACGCACACTGGTAATCGAGCATATGCTCTTTTTCTTTTGAGATTTTAAATTTTAGAATTTTTATTTCTTTTTAAGAACTTCCGACTCGATCGACTTTATATTCTTTACGCATACTTATTTTATGCGACTCGCGCACTTTACATTATCTATATATTTTCTTCATGAGAGTATATTAATTATTACTTAAATATTTATTTATATTTTGAGAAAACTTAACACTCACATCTCGAGACTTTTAGATTCGACATTCAATCGACTCAGCCACTTTACCCACTCACTCTTCTCTCGCGCCACGCATTCAAGACGCAGGTAGCTCGCGTACGACATCTCTTGTCTCTTCTCTCACTCGATCTGTTTATACTCACCCGTCTCTTTTTCACGACACCCGAGCGAAAGCGACCACGACCCCCGTCACTCGAGAATATATCGCCACCGATTCTTCAGCGAGTTCGACGCGAGACGCAGGGGCCGCGCCATCTTCAAGGATTTGGTCGTATTAACGTACTAAGTGCACTTCGACGTCTCTATCGCGACCCCGAGGCGCAATTTCGCACGGAACGACAGCGTGAAGCGGTTGAGAGTGTGGCGAGTCGCACGGGAGACGTGGTCGCGATTCTTCCAACCGGCGGGGGAAAGAGTCTCTTGTTTTTAGTGCCACTCTTTCTTCCCCGTGCTCGTACCACCATCGTCGTGGTCCCGCTTGTGGCACTGAAACAAGATATGGTCCGACCATGTTGGGAGGCGGAGATCGAGTTTAGCGTGTGGGAGGCGCGGGCGAATAGCGAGCGATTCGTCGGACTCCCGTTCAGCGCTACCACGTTGCACCACGTTCACAACGCAACGTTGTGAACAACTCTTGACTTCCAAAATAGGCTTAGCTTTTATAGGGAGCGCGCATGTTTCTCTAAGTAGCGGTGTGTGTTTATCTTCTGGTTTTGCAACTACAAGAGCTATGGACAACAGTGCTGACCTACCGCTGCAGCCCGCAGAGCCTAATATTGTAAGGCATAAAGGTGTTGATTACGAAAAATGTGGCCTCTTCTCAAAGAATCGTACGGGAAAGACGTCTTCTTGGTGGAGATTCGGTTCAGCCTATGCGAGAGTTGATCAACCGTCAGAGATTGCTGGCTGGATTTGTGGGACGTGTAAGAGCTTTGTGACAACCCCGAGGCAGGCAGTATGGCTTGTGAAAAGGCATATGACGGATGTTCATAAAGTCCAAGAGGAGGACTCTGAAGGGAGTAGTCAACAGGGAAGCAGCTTTTCAAGCGGCCAGCCAGCACCGGCAACGAAGTTCAAGTCGTTAACCTTTACAACCGACGTTAAGGCTTTTCAAGATACGCTACTACGATGGTGTATTGTCGATCATATTCCTTTTCAAAGGGTTGATTCGGAGAGGTTCAGACAGTTATTGAAGGTCTGTAATCCAGCTCTCACGGCCATTCCAATGGGGAGAACATCACTCAGGAACTGGGCAATGGAGGAGTTTGATATTGAAAAGGTAAAGGTCAAATCGACACTCCAACAGTCATATTCGAAGATTCATCTGTCCTTTGATATCTGGACGTCCCCGAATGGGTATGCTATCCTTGGTGTTATTGGACATGGAGTCTTTCGAACCTCGGAGGGATTTCATAACCAGGCAGTCCTTCTTGCCTTAAAAAGAATGCGATACCGCCACACTGGAAAGGATATCGCGTCGGTATTAATCGACGTGATTAAAGACTATGAGATTGAGAAGAAGTTAGGCGTCTTTATGAGCGACAACGTTTGGGAAAATGACCTTGCCACTAAATATACTTTGGAGGTTGTCGATCCAGCTGAAACGGATTTCTCTTCTCGTCGAGCTCGATGTGTTGGCCATATTATTAATCTAGCAGCCAAGGACTTTATGTTCGGTAAGAATGTTGATGCGTTTGAGTATGATATCGCGGGGGAAGATATGAATGAGAGGTTTGACTCCGTTAAAGCGAGGAAGGCACAGGACATCTGGCGAACGAAAGGTGCTATTGGAAAGCTACACAATATCGTTGTCTTTATTAAAGGGTCAGTACAGAGACGAGAGGCTTTTAGAAGAATAAAGGTTGGCGACGATGAGGTTGACGGTGAGGGAACCCTTATCAAAATTGGAGATATACACTAACCTCTCTATAGAGCTAATGCCTCTTCAAGATAATAGTACACGCTGGAACTCACACTTCGACTCTATTACACGAGCAATTAAGCTTCGCCATCGGATTGAAGCTTTCTCTTCGCAATACCGTCAAGAGATTCAACAAGATGTCCTTGGCGCCGATGATTGGACATATTTAGAGGAGATTCAGTTGGCTCTCGGACCATTTCATCGTACAACGAAAGAGCTTGAAAGTACCGCCGGTAACGGACGTCATGGGTCTATTTGGGAGTGGTTACCGACGATTGAGGCTCTCCTCTTTACTATGAAAGAGGGACAGAAGCGGGTAATAGCGAAGTACTATACCGCTCATCCTTTATCTATCGCTTATCAGAATGCATGGGAAAAACTCCACAAGTGGTACGAAGAGTCGGATAAATCACACACGATCTATGCGGCAGCAACCCTCTTCTCTCCGATGGCAAGAAAGGCGTACTTTGATCGGAATTGGGATCCTGAGTGGAGGGGTCAAATGCTAAAGGCTGTTCACGACTATTATCTCAAGAACTACCACAGCAAGCCACAAAATTCTCAAAGCAAGCAAACGAAGCCCGTTCCGAGCCCAATCGATGTCCAGCTTGGTCTGGCGTCGTATACCGAAGAAGGAGTTGATCAATATACTGCGTATATTGAGGGCGCGCCCTTTCAGTATAAGCTTGATATTCTCAATTGGTGGGCAACCGCTGGCCCTCCCGAGCTTCGGCAGATGGCTTTTGACCTCTTATCTATACCAGCAATGTCAGCAGAGGTGGAGCGGACGTTCTCGTCAGCTAAACGGCTGCTGACACCAGACCGTAACGCCCTTTCAGTCGAATCTCTCGAGACATACGAACTCCTGCGGAATTGGTGGCTTCGCGACATCGTTTTACAATCACAGAATCAGGCAGAGGAAGGATATTGATTACATAAGGTGGTGAACGAACGACAACGTTGTCACAACGTTGCGCAACGTTGGTTCGGCAGCGTGGTGAACAACGTTGCGTGGTGCAACGTGGTAGCGCTGCTCCCGTTGGTGTTTGGTCGGTGGAACAAGCAGTTCGACAGCCATTTCGACGATTTCTGGCGCAACTCGGCGCAACGCAACAACTCGATCGAATTGTGTTTGAGATAATGTGAGGCGTTCCCTTGACCTGCGCCGCAATATCGAGTTTCACTAGCGAGCAAAATTTACAGCACAGCAGATTACCTAGCTTACATTATCCTTCAGTCATGATCTGTCAAAACCAGTACGCATATGTCCGCGCGATCCTAGTCCAATCTAATGGTGCACAGCTTCTGGCAGCCTCCGTGCCTCACGATCGAGCTAGGGCCTTCTCAGAATAGAGCCCCGCAGTTCTGGAATGCTCCTGCTCCTGGAGGACCAGGCAGCGCTCCAAATAGGTCAGATCAGATCAGATCATCCCTCTGATCTGATCTGATCTTTAGTCAGCAGCGCATCATCTGATCTGATCTGATCTATCTGTAGATATCTATAGATCTGCCAAGGCTTAGGTAATTCTTAAGAGTACTCTCGCCAGAGGAGTTAACACCATTGAGCATGTTCACACACTAGCTAAACTTCGAGATGTTAGACTCTCTCTAGGTTATTAAGAGGCCCGTTCTTTCACTAGAATCTTAGATAGACCAGATATTCAAGGGTGAAGGCCGTTATACTCTGTCGTTATGTTAAAAGAATTATCTTAGTAAGACTAAATACCCTTTTGTATTTAGTAGATATTATAGGTATAGAAAAGAAGTCTAAAGCCATTTATAACATCGTGAGATATTTATTAACATGGTTATGTTACCATTCTAAAGACTTTCAGAAAGTATCCCGGATAGGATTTAAAGATTTAAAATAGTTATACTTATTTACTATAGATAACTAAACACGTAAAGATATAGGAGCTAAAAAGTTATCCTAATTATTAGGCTTATATAGAGCGCTATCTAGTTAAGCTAGCCCTATTAGTAAGGCTATATTATTAGGTTAATAATAATACTTATTATAGTGTTTTTATAGGCTATATTTAGCTATGTCTAGTCACTTAAGTTAATTATTATCCTTTTAATATTAGGTGAACTATACTTTATTTAGAGCTAGATATATTCACACTAATCTAAAGTAAGTACATAATTAATCTGTCTAATTATAGTACTTCTCTAGTTTAGACTATACATTATTAATGCTAGTGCGAAGATAATGTTTACTAGTACTAATAAGAATATCATTACTGGTTTCTTAGGTATTTAATAATAATAATAAGATAAAGAGTAACTATAAAACATTAATTAAAGAGCTATAGTATAGTTTATAACACTAAGAGGGCAGAACGTATCTCACTAGCTAGTGTTATACTACCTATTATGAGTTCTAAGTAATGATAACCTTTAACTATAGTTAAGCACTAGCCATAGACTCTTTAGCTAAAGAATCCATATTTATATTCTTATGAGAAGACAGTATATTCAATATATCTAATAGACCTAATGTTATGTATTTATCCTTAAGGCTTTCAAGATACTATAGAATTATCTCTATAAATAGTAATACTTCCTAGATCGCTCTATAATATCCTTATTATGCCTAACTCTAAAAGCGAATAGTATAGTTATATATTAGCTTTAGAATCTTAGCTAACTTTTCTAGCACTAACCAGTCTTCTTAGCTAAGCCAGTCTTTTTATAATAAGCCTACCTCGCCCTTCCTTACGTTAAGAACCTACACAAAAGCATTAATCTCCTATCTCTTCCTAAGTGCTCACCAAATTATTTATATATATAGAGTTTCACCTCATTATATTGTTATAAATAACGCCTAGGATTTTTAATTCTAGCGAAATCAGTTTATATTTAATGTCTTTAATAGTGGCGAGAGAGATACTCTTAAATAGCTCTCTACGCTATGATAAGGCCCTAATAAATGTTATGATATTCTGAAGTTTCCTAACTAGGCCTCTCTTTCGCTAGGCACTTAGATATTTATGCTCCTAATCTAAGGTAACATTAGTTATGTCCTCTAGCTCCAAAGTATTAGTGTTATAGCCAAACAAAAATAATTAGGCCATAAGATTTAAGACATAGCCCTAGCATTATAATTAGCGTTCACTAATTATATCATTAGTGAGATTAAGGTAAACCTTTTACATCATGTATTTTAGATAAGTATTATTAGATTTAGCGTTATTTATTATGAAGTAGCCTAAACAATCTTAAATATTAAACTTATTAATCACATTAAGAAGAGTTTCTATTATGTTCACTTTAGAGTGCGAACTAAAAAGATAGCGCAGAGTAATTAGCACAGTTTAATTATTAAAATCTTTATTAAGATAATAAGTAACTATAGCCATAAGTAATATATTATTATCTTCTAAGGTTCATATATTAAAGGAGAGATATATATTACTTTATACATAAGAATATAAATAATCCCTAATATCTTCCTTATTCTGCCCATATTTATATATAATCTATATCTATAGAGTGTCACTAGTGAGTACTATATTAAGATTATTATTTAAGCCTAATAAGTAAACCTTAACTAAGTGTTAAAAGCTATAGGCCTTAACTCCATTTAAAGGGATATTAGTGTTCACCACTTACTGTATAAGTATCTATTTAAAAAGAATATTTATGTCTATCATTATTAGTATATTATTAAGCTTTTACCCCTTAGTACTTAGAATTTACATTACTATCACATTATATAAGGGTAATGTTAATATCTCTAGACTAGGCCGCTTAATACTATGTTTAGCTAAGAGATAGCGTTCTGCATTACTAGTTATCCCTATATTATATAGTTAGTGACGTCCTTTTCGATCGCACTCAAAATAACTCTAGAATATACTACTCCGTTAGTTCTCCCTCATTTTGACTAGGTATAGCCTATAGTCACCGACCTAAGAGTAGCACCTTGTATTAGCTAGCTAACACACTCACTTCTTAAGAACATATTTCTTTCCCTAAATTAAAATACGTAGGAGGTTATTAACTATAAGCTTTTACTTAGGGAGATTAAATGCCTTAACTTACTTAGTAATTAAGATTAACTGATAACGAAAGAGTCTAGTATATAGAGATAGTGTTAATGTCTCCTAAGAGCTAGGAGTGACTAGCTATAATATTAAATTCGTAAATAATTTTAGATAAGCATTTAAGGTTAATGACCGCGGCACGAAAACTTAGAGGCTCGAAGTAATAAACACGTCTTAACGCGTCCCCTAATCACTAATGATAACGCGCTAAATATTCTGACTTAGCTAGGCTCATATCTATAGATTGCATAGATATTAATGGTCTTTAATCTAATCTAAATCTATGTCAAAAGTATCAATCTAATCTGATCTGCCAGCATCATGATCTGATCTGATCTAGATTGATCTGACCTATTTGGAGCGCTGCTCTATACTACTTGCCCTTAGTGACTTCGTCCCTCCTATACTTCCCATTTGTATAGAAACCCTTACGTGCTGTGGCACGTCAGGTGGAGCGAAACGTAACAAGAGCATTCTTCTACACGGTCCTGACGTACTTGATATATCTCGTCACAAACGTCCTTCCCTCACTACCTCATACGCTGACGAACCACCGTCGAGATGTTTATTTCTAGGCAATTAGAATGCTCTGGAGCTCGAGGACTTCCACTTCGAATGTCCTAGTTGATTGGATCTAACCTCTAACTCCATTCTAGTCCACTACACTCCATTACAATGAGAGCACTGGTCTTCAAAATAATTTTCAAAGTGACCTGATCGATGAGGCGTTCAGTGTATCAGCGGAGCTAGTGGCAAGATGGATTACCTCATGGCTAGCTTGCTTCCGAACTAGTTGTGTTTGAACAGTAGGATCTCTCATAATGTTATTGAACAATCAACTCATTCGAGCACGCCTCTAGTAGTATTTGCTGCTGCGCGTGCTTTCAACCTAGATAGCAAAGGACGAGAAGCTACCCAATTTTTTGAAGTGGGAGTGTTACACAGCAATGAGATGAGCTCAAAAGTACTTCTATCGGAGTGCATCTGCGAAGTCGCCGATAGAGCTCACGTATCTCTGCCAAAACTATTACTTCCTTATCCTCCTCCTTGACGTCGAGCACCGACCGGACACAGTTGATGCGCAAGAACTGTGATCTCGGTCAAAAATTTTCTTGTTTTATTTTTCCAATCCAAAAATAAAAGATAATTTTGTATCCCAACATTTCCAAAGCACCGGCCACTAGACGGCTACAACCAGTCCGCTACTGTTCCTCAGTGATTTAGTGTGGCCACAATACGGTTGGTCATTAATGGTGTGATATCCCCAAGCCACATGGCGCAGCCCGTTGCGATAACACCAAAGGGGATGCTCGTGTAAAAGATGTATTTCAGAGAACTTGCGAACGCCCAACGGCTACCTTCCGCACCGGCAGCAATGATCGCTGGTGTGACTCCGGGCACTGTAGCCAGCGCAGTGGCATTGGTGAGGAAATTAGTGACAAACTCTGTGGCGGAACTGAGTGGAAGACCTGCTTGAACGGCGTACTGTGCAATCGTAGTGGGAAGTTTTGTATCAAGCTTGTTTCTGAAAATGTTGTAGTAGATTGCAAAGCCGATGGATCCGCCAACCGCTCGCAACGCTAGTATAAGGCCGACTGTCGTTGCAATCAGGTCGTCAGGGCAAGCAACAGTCGCATATGTGGAGGCAGGTACAATGAGGCCGCCCACTGCAAGGCCTCCAATGGTAGAGGCAGCTACTACATAGCCCGGGTTGCTTGGATTACCGGCAGCTAAGCTTCCTATGAAAGAAGCTTGACGCAGAGGTCAGTGTTATACACTTTTTCAAGGTGGAAAAGGACTACTTACTCATAATAGCGCAACAGATAGTAATACACCATTTTGCGTATTTTGGGAACCGGGAAACAAACGTGGCCCCAAGCACGGCACCCCAGATGACCCCTAGCGACAAACCAATACCTCGAGCTCCAGTGGTGACAGGGTCCGTATGATATACGTTAGTGAAGTATATGGGCGCGAAGTTGGACAGCGAATAGAAGTTCACACCCCCGACAAAGGATATGATGAAGGCCTTCGGAATGATAGACCCTCGGAAGAGCACTCTAGGTGCTATTGGAACCTTTGCAAAATACCTCTCCCAGACCACAAATGCGCCGATGGCCACGATCCCGAGAATGAGTGGGACCAAGACCTTAGCGCTTTTCCAGTGGTACAGATAGCCACCATTGTTAAGAGCGACAAGCCTGTGGAATCTTAGAAAAGAACAAGTCTTCTTCCTTTAGTTCAGGCTACTTACAGCAGCGTTAGGCCAGCGAGCGACAGCAAGCCTCCCACGTAATCGATGTTTTTGATCACGTCTTTCCGAGCCAATCCTACCAGTCTAGAGTGCTTGGATGGAAAGTAGAGAAGTGCGGCCCCAAGGAGCGCAATGCCCTGAAAAATACTGAGTTCGAGGTGTTAGCGCAAACATTTAACGTCATGACAGGGGTGCGCCTCGTACAGGACCATCCAAATACCCCATCTCCAGGTTGCTCGGGTTGAAAGTAGTTGACAATAAAGCGGATATGGGCCGAAGGGGGTAGCAACTACCGTCATGAAGGCCACACTGTACCCTCGTGCCTTGACAGGAACCACTTCGGTCACACTGTGGTGAAATTAGCTACTGTTGATTCCTTGTTTATACTCCTTACCCTGCGAAGGCAGCAAGTTCGGCGATGCCAGCTCCAGTTCCACATAACGCCATGGCAACAACCGCTTGAGGAAAGGAGTGAGCTGTTCCCAGTATAATCAGACCCACCATGGTCAAGGAAGTGGCAAAGAGGAGAATGAGGCGCCGGCCAAAGATATCCTGCAGGTAGCCAGCAAAGGGGATTGGAACGGCTGCCGCCAAGGTATATGCTATTGGCAGCCATGAGCCTGTTGAACTCCCGCCGACATCCTTGATGATAAATTCAAGGCTGCCTGCTGTAAAATACAGTGGCTGTTGCGAACCTAAACACTTTCAGGAGCCCATTCGTAAAGTATTCACTAGTTGAAGACATACCGGTGAAGATGAAAGTGAGACAGATGTATGCCAAAATAGACGTGGCACTCCAATTCAGCCTGCCATCTGAGTCGTCACCTTTGATGACCTCGTTGTGGGCTCCATTTTCAACTGGGCCAGGTTCCTTTTCGTCCTTTGCGAGGCCCGGGATCGTCTCTACATGGCAGTCACCCGCGTTGACGTTGCGCTCGTCGGATGGATCCTTCGCGTTCATCATAATGCGTTCTGGCGGGTAGAGTGAATGATCAGCCCGGTTGCGCTCTGATACTACAAGAGCAGGATCTGGTGGACGTCCCCTATAGTTATAGACTAGGGGAAACTTTCTCCAGCTCCGGGGCCCCACGGGTCATGTCTTGATTCTTTGAGTTCTTCATTGAGCAACCACTCACGCCGCTACTGAATATTCACTATTCATGGGAGCGAGTGGTTCAACACTCGGTAAGAGACCGGGTCCCGAGGTAAAGTGAGTGCCTCGGTCTCAATATAGGAGTGCCGGCCTTGATCGTACACTGAACCGACTCGCTGGCCACTGCTAGTGCCTCTCCTCTTCCGAGGCGGGTACAAATAGTATTGTGTTCTTTTCAGGTTTAGACCGAGGAAATTACAATGGCGGGGTTCATGAAAGGCGGAGGAGACGCTTGCCTCCAAGGGGAGGATCATTGCCAGATCTGGAGCCGAGGAGTGTTCAGGGATCCGATTCGTCTTCATCGGGAGTTACTTTCAAGATTCTTGGAGACCTCTATACAGCTTGAGTCATCAGGCATAAACCATTATGATTGGAGGGAAAATTGTAAGCCGGATGCGGTGTATCTGTGGTATCGCTCCGATACATCACTTAAGACTAAATCAATCGAGAGTCATTTTTACCCCATCGCTAGTCTTAATCTGCGCATCTGCGTAGAGTCCCGACTAAAGTATCAAGCAGTTTACAATATCGTCCGCCCGGACGATATATCTCCTGTTCCTCAAACTTTCGGAACTTCCTGTACTGCCATCAAAGGGGGCGAAGCTAAGGCTTGAAGAGTCGTGTGTCTAGGTTGAGAGCACAGGCTCGAGCCCATTTACCAAGTCTTCGACGAGTTGCATGGCCCTGAAATTGTTAGCTTAGAAGGGCGCGTAAGTTCAGATCGTTGTCATGACACATACTCTTCTCGCCCATATAGGTCATCCTACAAAAGGTGAATGGTATAATACAACCTGAGGCGATCCTTAAGTTGGTCTTTTGGTTCATCGCATTGTTGCTCCACGAGCTCAAAAGCTTTTTCATACTGATCTTGGCGCAGCCGGCAAAGGGTAGCCCATTCCCATTCAGAAGGAGCATAGATGATTGCTGGCTTGTAATTGACAGAGCGCCCCCTAGGGTCGCACAACCACCCTGTGGTTAATCTTGGCCTGGCGGTCAAAGGTCTCAGGAGCTGCTCAGCAAGTAGTGTGGAGGTCGAAACGAATTGATCTTCATGTTCCCACGTCCTATGCCGAGCTATGTTCTCACGAACGGTAAGGTTCGTCAATCCCCCCCAAAGTTCATGCCATGAGCTGTGCCATTCCAAATTCTGGGATTGGCGGTAGAACAGCGTTGGGGCCGAGAAACCAAACTTGTCACCTTGACTCTGCTCCTCGCTGTGGAAGTTGAGCAATCTTTGAACTTGCCCCAGAAGCCGCATCGGTTGACTAGGCAGGTGCTGGATGATGTTGAAGTACACGATGTCTTTTCCATCCTAATAGCTTCCAAATCCAACAGGTTTTGGCACCAAATCACCTGCTAGGCCGGGGGCGTGGACTGAGACCTCTGTGAGAACAGCATACTCCGCATCCCTAAATTCTTGAGCACGTGGGCCAGTCCATTTTCTTTGAACAACTTTTTCCAGCTTTCTCGCCGTGTTTTGCACCAAGAGAAGAGACAATTCTTCTTTAACCACAGTATGCGGCCATATTATACGCCATCGTCGCATGGGGAATTGACCCCAGACGCGAACCACTTTCTCATGGAGAGAGTAGAATTGAGTGGAGATCGGATTCATCGTAGCCGCTTGAGCCTCTTCTGTGGGAGAACCAGCCTCGCCAGCCTGATAAGCCTTGAATGTGATCTCTGGATCATGCAGATGCCGTAGATGCGTAAGGCTCGTGTGACAAAGTGGGCAAATCTCATGGGTACCAATCAGATTCCTTGAGGATTTGCTCGACCCTGGCTTCAGAGAATGTGTCCAACAAGTCGAGTGTAGCCATTTATTACATGCCCCATGTATCAGATCGGCTCCAATTTGATGACAGTGATCACAGGTTTCGCGGAAACTGGGACGGAAAACACCTATTGTTTCGATCGGAAGAGCTTGCAGAAACATCTCCAAGGTGTCTGAGGTGCTGAGGAGAAAGTTGTAGTGTACTTTTATTGTAGATGGGAGATCTCATACCACAATCGACATGTCGCCAACATTTTTTGCCGGTCCCAGCATCCTCATACTGTACGAAAATAGTTCCGCTCCGCTCGATTTCAATTTCGGTTTCGATTCCGGCCACAGTGAGCGAGAGTCTCCCACGATTTTCTGCTCGCACCTTTTGCACAAAGTACCGGTTGTCCTCGCTGTCTTCGGCCAGTGATAGTGTGAGATTGTGTCGGGGCAAGAAACCGGCTCTAATCGGCCACGTTTGGCATGAGCTCGACTCTTGAACTTCAAGTGTACCTGCCAATTCCATTATCAATGAGGGCGATTATGAAGAGGTATCTGAAAGAAAAGGGCAGAAAGAAAGTAGACTCCTTACAACATGCCTAAGGCCTTAGAGGTCTCCCGGCAGCGACATCTTCGAAGCGTTGAAATCCCCGTCAGTGAGCGTGCCTATTTGTAGTAGGACGACAACATTAGAAGCATGCACTAAGCGTTGACTGAGGGTGCAGTTAGCCGTCCTCCTCGCGCACTAAGGAGATCCAAACGACTTTGTTTCAATTAATGCATGTCTCTGCAACGGTGTCCAACGAATGTCGAGCCATACTCAAGGAGTGCATGAGATGGCTCCTTTTCAGAAGGACAGGCCTGGCTTCAACACCACGAAAGCTACGTAGCGGAGACTCTGTGTAGACAATTTAATACTAACCAATATGGACCGGGCTCAGAATACGTGGGCGCCAGCGAAGCCAGGAGACCAACATGTTGGACGTGGGTCGGGCTGGGATTGATGCCCATCAGTAAGGTAGAGTGGCTTGAGAGTTAGGCAGAGCATCACTCGATGAGGCTGAGCACCAGTCATGAGGCCTTAATGCAGGCCGTGCATCCACGGGGCAGTGTCAAGTGAGGCGATCAACTGCCTGCACGCACTCCAAGCTTCCTTCTCAGGCTGCCATTCCCTTTAAAAGACGTCAACCCTCGCTAGAACTCCATGCTTATGAGTTTAGCTGCATCTAATGTCTGCACAAACCACTACTCAGACTAACCAGCGTTATTACAAACACTCCGTACGAGGAAGCCACATGGCAAACAGTATACCTATCGCTTCACTTAAGCGTCGTACTCAGGAACCACCACGGAACGAGCATGGTCAGATTTATTGCGACCACATTAATTGTCAAGGGAACGAACAGACATTCAAGAGACCTTGTGAATGGAAAAGGCACATGGATAGACATGACAGACCTTACAAATGTCTCAACGTCGCATGTACTCTCAATCCAGGTTTCACCTATCCGGGCGGCCTCGTGAGACACGAGAAGGAAGTCCACAAGATGCATGCCTCAACAAGGAGGTCACTACGGCTCTGTCCATTTCCAAGATGTAGTCGAAGCTCGGGGTCCGGGTTCACAAGGAAGGAAAATCTCGACGATCACATTCGGCGACGACACTTGAAGATTGATGCGGCCAACGAGAACGGGAACCATGTGAAGTCCGAAAGTAAAGCCCTGCAAGCAGTGATTCGAAGAAAAAACGAACAAATCCAAACACTGTCGATAGAGGTTGAACTCCCTTCTTATCCCTCCAATGGACATGAAATCTATGTGGCTCAAACCATAGATGGAAGAAAATGATCTAGAGGCGCCTGGTCTCATCGATGAACTTCATGAGCCAGAATTTAAGCAGTCCATCTGGAGAAAGGCCCCAACATAGGAATAGACAGTATCAGGGAATAACACACGGCCTTCAGAATGTGGATACAACCAAGGCATACGCCAAACCTTCACTTTGCCGTTGAATTGTCCAACTAAACAAAGACTCTCCCCCGCCGGTGTCGTGGCGGATAGACACATCTCTTCTGCGAATTTACCACGTCTGTACAGCGTCTGTCCTACGAAAAGTTGGACGAGCGCCTCAAATAGTCTCTTACGGTGGTAAATGCTGCAGTCACGCCATAGACGTCCCATCTCCGTTAGCACCCTATTGGTTTTGGGGCAGGCCCGGCATTCATGCTGGTTCAGAGTAACGAAAAGTTTGACGATCGAAGGATTGACAGCTGTGTCCGTGTCCGTGTCCGTGTCCGTGTCCGTGTCCGTGTCCGTGTCCGTGTCCGTGTCCGTGTCCGTGTCCGTGTCCGTGCCGGCATATTGTCTCCCTAATGCCTTAGGGTTAGGGTTAGGGTTAGGGTTAGGGTTAGGGTTAGGGTTAGGGTTAGGGTTAGGGTTAGGGTTAGGGTTAGGGTTAGGGTTAGGGTTAGGGTTAGG